AGCTGTCAAAGCGGGGAGCAGGGGCTGGTCTGATCACAACATGTTACACCCTGAATATGTTACGAAAGGAACTTATCCTTTAAGGTCACCTGAAAACTCACTGCTGTTCTGGTGCAATAAATTGTGCTGCAATCGCAGCAAATTGCATTGTGTGAAGCATGTTGCCCAAAAGAAGTTAAATTACAGCAGAACTGCATGGTGTTTTCGGGTACCATTAAAATGAATAGCACCTGAAAACGTGGTTCCAGGATTTGTCATTTTGGCAGAGTGTTTTGAAATTGCGGGTGGAATCTCAGCGATTCAAAACACCCATGTGTAAATACAGCTCAAGTGCCAGTTCACACTACATGCGTTTCAGTTGCTTTTTTTCCTGCATCCAAAATGCACAGAAAGTAGTTTTTATGGTTGTCAAGGTCATAGTTCACATCATCAGTGCTTGCAGTTCCAGCACAATCTGGTTGCAGAAAGGAAAAAAAAAAAAAAAAAAAAAAAAAAAAAAAAAAAAGAAGAAGTAGAACAGGCTGCATTTTTCCTGCACAGTACTGTAGTGAAACATATTAAAACGCATCAAAAAATGCACCAAAAACGCACTGTTCTCTAATTTGAAGAAAAACATGAACCGCGACACATAAAAAAATGCACTGGACTGTGCCACAAAATGCGCATGCAGAAACGCATCCAGAATGCACCTGGACTATGTTGCTATGGTGTGAACTGGCCCTCAAGGTTTCACTCACTCCAGTCTCGTCTCCCTCCTCTTTGGCCCGAACCACATCCTACATTTAGCAATCAACTTCCTGCTACTCCAGGGTGTCATGGACATCACTCCATGGTACTTCTGCACAAGACAGTGCTCACATTTCTTGACATTTTTTTCTATTCAGCCCGTTCCTTGCTGGCATTCTGGCCTAGGAGAAAAGGATATTTTCCTGCTCCTGCAGCCTCCTGGGATATTCTGTCACATATCCAATGAGACTGCAGGGATGCACAGCGGTCAGTGATGTATGAAGGGCCAGTAAGCTGCAAAAGACAGCCTGACGACATCAGAGAACATGGTAACACAGGCAGTGGCATAGGATTGCAGCTGGACAATGCTGGATTTGCTAGGTGGAAAGGGTATGTGAATTAAGGACAAACCCTAGTGAACACGCAAGAGGGGTTATTACATTTAAAAAAAAAAAAAAAAAAAAAAAAAAAAAAAAAAAAAAACAACACACCACTGTCTATCATGGAGGCCCAAAAAATGTGGGGGGGGAAGGCCTTTAATCACATACTAATAAAATGATAAAACACTCAGCCATAGTTTTATTTTTTTTTTTCTGAAACGTTCCTTCTTGGCAGAGAAAGAGGCCTTTGAAATCACTAGGGAATCTGACACTTCTGGGAGTGTCAATCCCTTAGCTCTTCTAAATGACAGATGCAGTTCCCCTCCCCCTCTACTTCTACGCCATCTCCAGCTACTCACAGCACATCCTCATGAGACTTCAGCAAACAGGCCTGAAGAACATTACGGGAGCGCTCTCCTGACCCAATCTTTGGCACACACGTGCGGGATCATGTCTGTGTTTGATATGGGTGAAGCTGTGCAGCCCATGCACAACAACGTTGTCCATTCACAGATCCAATGAAATGACTACAAGTCCCATTTGACACTGGGGCAGAGGGTCTCACAGATCTCAATAGGGTGAGGTCAGGGGCCGACTGGCAACTTTTGGCCCAGGAGGCAAATACAACCCAGAGGACCACGGTGCAACTTGAGCCCCATCCCAGGCTGAAGATCAACTCCAGGTACTTTCTGCTCACCTGCCAGGTTGGGCTGGACTTAGGGTTGCCACCTTTAAGCCTAGGATCACACTGATGCGGTGCAGCACATCACGTGATCCGCACTGCATTCCTGTGCAAATCACATGTGATTCCCAGGTAGTGCAATTTGAGCCATACATTTTGTATGGCTCAAATCACACCGTATCAAAAAAGTGTAGGACCCTTTTTTTTTGTCTGCACTGGAATCGGATGGCATGGGTGTTCACACCCATGCCATCCGATTCTGCACATCGCACCACATTTTGCGAACTGATTTTGGGATGTCGTTACCTTAAAATACACAGCAGCAGCGGTTCATATGAATGGGGTGCGATTATGATACAGTGTGGAAATTGCACAGAAACCAGTGTGAATTCTGCACAGCATCAGTGTGAACCCAGGCTAAAACCAAACCCATTACACAGGTTCTGAGGCCAATTTAATGCAGATAAGGCACCAAGTGAGTTTATTTACCACCTTAACTAGTCCCAGAACCTGTGTCATTAACCACTTCCCGTCCGGCCCATGTAGATAAACGGCTGGACGGGAGCACTGCCGATGCGGGTGGACGTTTCTAAATGTCCCTCCACATCCATTGCCTGTGCGCACTCCCTGGACACAGATCGCTGTACGGGGCCGCTGTGTGAGGTCCCAATTCATGTGATCACTGATTGGCCAATCAGGGATCACATGAACAGTAATAAAGATGTCACTTCCTGACATCATTGCTTACTACTTGTGAAATCTGTGAATGATCACAGAGGTCCCATGGTACAAGGCTATTCACACAACAGCCTTGTGCCATGTGACAAGCTGTGACCAATCACAGCTCTCACAGTATTTCTCAATGGCTGCAAGAATGCAGCCAGGGAGGAGAAATTATTGATTTTACAGCCTTTATGGGTGTAAAAGCAATCAGTGTAAGGAAAAAAAAAAAAAAAAAAAAAAAAATCTTCATCACCCCCCACAAGTAGTAGTGTGTCACTACGGTGACACTGTACTGCTAGGGTGACAGTATGTTAAAAAACTTTATAAAAAATAAAAACAATTTTTGAAAAATAATTTTTGGTTATAAACTAATTGGTTTTGTTTTTTTTTTTACTAAAAAGATAGCTGAATACATTTTGGCCAAGATTAAGAAATATTATTTGCTAAATTTTATAAGAAAAACTTTTCAAAATTTTTGGGCTTCCATTTATATAGCAAAAAACTAAAAATCCCAGTGGTGAATAAATACCACCATTATAAAGTTTTATCTGTCTCAAAAAAAATGCCATATGGGAATGGTGTGCATGCATGACCGCGCAATTGTCATTCCGCAACATCTCCAAGATACGCCCGTCCCTAACCTTGGAAACCACTAAGCAACTTATTCACTCCCTCGTTATATCTCGCCTTGACTATTGTAACTCCCTCCTCATTGGCCTACCTCCTCGCAGGCTATCCCCTCTTCAGTCTATCATGAATGCTGCTGCCAGACTCATCCACCTTACTAACCGTTCTGTATCTGCCCCCCCCCTTTCTGCCAATCCCTCCACTGGCTTCCCGTTGCCCAACAGATACAATTCAAAACACTAACAATAACGTATAAAGCCATTTATAACATTGCCCCAAATTACATCACCGATCTTGTCTCTAAATATCACCCAAACTGTACTCTCCTCTCCTCGCAAGACCTCCTACTCTCTAGCTCCCTTGTCTCCTCCAATGCTCGTTTCCTGGACTTCTCCACAGCTTTCCCCATCCTCTGGAACTCTCTACCCCAATTTATCAGACTATCACCTACTCTGCTCACCCACTTTTAGGCGATCTCTGAAAACCTCTCTTCAGGGAAGCCTATCCTGCCCTCAGCCAATAATGGAATCTTCTACTCTTCCTACCAGTCCATCCCCCACAGTTACTACCTTTTGTACCACTAGCCCCTCCCACTTAGAGTGTAATCTCCCAAGATCAGGCCCTCCTATCCCTCTTGTATTGTTGCTGTATTGTCTCCCTTTATATTGTAGAGCCCGGAGCAAACTGTTGGTGCTATATAAATCCTGTATTATAATTATAGTGCTGAAAGCTGGCCTGGAAGAGGGTGAAAGTGTCCGGACTTGACGTGGTTAATATGGGTTTGGTTTTAAAGGGATGAGGTGGCAACCCTAGCTGGACTACATCTGCTGCACCGACTCCAGCTTCCCAAACTGGCTGGCAGAGGGCAGCCAGGGGTTGCAGTGGGTAGCCTGCGCTGGCTGGAGGAGGAGAGCCTCTGGTGGGGCATGAAGCCGGCCTCAGCTCGGGCACAGTGTACACCATCCATGCCAGGGGGGCAGCCTGTCCCCAGAAGAACACTGGCTGGGACTTTTTACTGCTCTTCACCAGGAAGCCTGTAGGATTGTCTGTGGCAGAAGCAGTGCAGGATTTATATGGGGTAACAGAGTGGCCCAGAGGGGCAACAGAGTGGCCCAGACTGCCCCCCCTCCCAGTCTACCCCAGGTGAGGTCACTGCTTCCATTGATGACGTCCTCTAGTCCTGTAATGGAAGGGGTTTACTAGGGTTTGGTTTTAATTTGAAAGGAAACAATCACTCCCACCCAATCAGCATAAAGGGGTGGAGGTGCTGGTGACACCACTGACCCAGTATGACCACACAGGGATGGACTGACAACTCATGGGGCCCCCGGGCAATAGGGGATCATGGGGCCCCTGTGTCCTTGCCCAAACTCAAAAAAAAGCCTATGAAAAAGGTACCAGGGGCATCTCATGGGGCCCCCTACTGACCCCGGGCAGTGCCCAAGTTTCCAAATGGTCAGTCCACCCCTGTGACCACATGGCTATGAAATCCCAATGATGGGGATGTAGTCAGATCAGGTGAATGATGTCCTCCCCAGGGTCAGGAAATAAACAATACACTGAGCACAGGCACAATGCTCTGCACATGGAATAAATGCACTGTAGTGATGTGAGGACCTTCCTTCCATGTGTCCCATAGGGGGGCTCTACATGGAGCCGACTGGTCATCTGAGGTGATGATGGGACGGACTAGGAAAAGTGTCCTAGAAGGTATCGTCCAATCAGCTTGCAGCTAGCATTTCCCCAGCCCGAGGTGTGACAATGAAGGCAGGATAGTGTCGGGGTCACAGGTGAGGTGACGGCAGGACATACGGGGGATCCCGGATAATGACAGTCATTCCGGCCGGCAGGGAGCGGCTCACCTGACTGCACAGCGGTCTGTAGTCCAGCTGGTACCCGGCCCTCCTGGACCTCCTCCGGCCCGGCATATACCGGTTCCAGGCAATGAACAGCACCGAGCCCAGAGCCGCCACCGCCGCTCCAATCACCATTGACAGGTTCCTCAGGGCGGCCATCCGTGCGGCACTGGTAGCACCTCCAGCCGAGACCACGCCCGCCTCTGACGCAAAGACACAGCGTCACGCCCTCGGGAGCCTTTAACTGCTCTTAAAGGGAACTCTGCCTGGTAAAAGATCCTGTGCGCATGCGTGATATTTTTTTTATTTATTTATTTTATATATATATATTTTTTTTTAAATTTGGTTATTCCTACCTACCCCAATAAAAGCTGTTCTGGTACCTTCCACTTGTCCTCACAGGAATCGCATATTTACCTTCGCTGGTGGAAAATGCAAAAAGTGTTTTTGGTTCGATAGACTTCAATGAAGATGCTGCAGAAAAGCATGTCGAGCATTTTTGATGTGTTTTAATTTGCCTAGCAACAAGAAAAAAAACAACTGCATAGGTGTGAACCTAGCCTAAGCCCTGGTTCACACTGGATGCGACTTGGCATGCGATTTGCATGCCTGCAACTTGCAAATCGTATGCCAAGTCGCACCCTATTGTCCGCAAATAGAGCGGTCATATCGGTGCAATTCTGACTTGGTCGGAGCCGCACCGATTTTTAAAGTAGTACATGCACTACTTTTGGTGAGATTTGCATAGACATCTGTGTCAGATATCTTGGAAATCGCACCTGAAATCAGAAATGCACTACAGTCCATTTACACCCTGGTCCAAGGGAGGACTGGCAACTCATGGGGCCCCCCAGGCAATAGGGGATCATGGGGCCCCTGTGTCCTTGACCACACTCAAAGCACACCCAAAAAAGCCTATAAAAGGTACCAGGAGCATTTCATGGTGCCCCCTACTGACCCTGCGCCCTCGGGCAGTGCTCGAATGGTCAGTCTGCCCCTGCCCCGGTCACATTGGGTATGACTTGGTATGCAATTTGCATGCCATGCGACTTGCAAATTGTATGCCAAGTCGCACCCTATTGTCCACAATAACAGCAGTCATATTGATGTGATTCTGACTTGGTCAGAGCCGGACCGATTTCTAAAGTAGTACATGTACTACTTTTGGTGCGATTTGCATAGACATCTGTATCAGATGTCTTGCAAATCACACCTGAAATCAGCATGTCGCCCAATTTTGAAATCATGCGACTTCACTGTAAGTCGCACTATTTCAAATTCGGGCTTGTTGTGACCGGGGGGAGGGGTTAACATGATTTCCTATGAGACAAGTTCACATCGCCACATTTTCACCCAGTGCATTTTGTGGATCAGGGGCTTTTTTTAAATGCAAAAAGTTGGATTTTTTGGTTCTATAGACTTCAATGGAGACGCTGCAGAAAAGCATGTAGTGTGTTTTTTAGGGATATCTAATGCGTTTTACGTTTTAATCTGCCTAGCAACAAGAAAAAAAAAGGTCAAATGTCAAAATGCATAAAAAAAGCATGTGCAAAATTCAAAAAAGAGCACGACCTGCTTTTCTGCAGCATCTCCATTGAGGTCTATAGAACTAAAAAGGCAACTTTTTGCCTTTAAAAAAGTCCCTGACCCTGTCAAAAAAACGCACCAGGTGAAAACGCAGAGATGTGAACGTGTCCCATAGCAAATCATGTTAAATGGACTGTGTTTTTCTGCAAAACGCTGCAGAAAACGCATAGGTGTGAATCTAGACTCAAGGAGATTGTACAGATAGATTGGAATGTGTGTGCTGAGAAAGCCCCATTCACACAGTGCTGTGCGATACCAGGTGCTGCGCATATGTGCATTCTTGTGTGTTGTCATATGTTGACTCCTGGTTCACACCTATGCGTTTTTTAATGCTTTGCTTTTTGCAAAAGCGCACCACAGTCCATTTAACATGGTTTCCAATGGGACACGTTCACATCTGTGCATTGTGAGCTGCTGCGTTTTTTAGAAAGGGTCAGGGACTTTTTGAAATGCAAAAAAGCAGTGTTTCTGCTACAAGAGAGTGCGTTTTTTGCGCATTTTGCATTTTTTTTTCTGGCCAGCAACCACACAAATTTCCACTTTAAGCACAGGTTCACACTTCTGCGGTGCGGCATATCGCATGTGATTTGCACAGCATTCCTGTGCAAATCACATGTGAATTCTGTGTGGTGCAATTTGAGCCATACATTTTCTATGGCTCAAACTGCACCACATCCACACCAAAAGGTGCAAGATCCTTTTTTTTGTCTGCACTAGAATCAAATCGAATGGGTATTCACACCCATGCGATCCGATTCTGCACATTGTTAACTTGACATATACATCCGCAGCAGTTTGGGGTGTGATTATGATGCGGTGCAGAATTCGTACAGAAACCGGTGCAAATTCCACACCGCATCAATGTGAACCCAGGCTAAGGCTACGTTCACATCTATGCAGATTGTGCGATTTGACAGTGCATTTTGCTTATAGAACACGCATTTTTGATGCGTTTTGCAGGTTTTTTTAGGCCATAGGAAAGTATTGATGCCACTTTGGATGTGTGCAACTTTGATGTGACTTTGGATGGGTGCAACTTTAATGCAACTTTGGATGGATGTGACTTTGATGCAACTTTGGATGGATGTGACTTTGGATTAATATGACTTTGAATCAACTTCGGATGGATGTGACTTTGGTGTGACTTTGAATGGATGTAACTTTGATGTGACTTTGGATGGATGTGACTTTCATATGACTTTGGATGGATGCAACTTTGGATAGGTGCAACTTTGATGTGACTTTGGATGGGTGCAACTTTGATGCAACTTTGGATGGATGTGACTTTGATGCAACTTTGGATGGATGTGACTTTGGATTAATATGACTTTGATGCAACTTTGGATGGATGCAACTTTGGTGTGACTTTGAATGGATGTAAATTTGATGTGACTTTGGATGGATGTGACTTTCATATGACTTTGGATGGATGCAACTTTGGATGGGTGCGGCTTTGATGTGCCTTTGGATGGGTGTGACTTTCCTGCAGTTTTGGATGGATGCAAATTTGATGCGACTGCAAAGCATCTTTGAATAGATGTGACTTTGGATGGATGTGACTTTGATATGACTTTGGATGGATGCAAATTTGATGCGACTGCGAAGCATCTTTGAATAGATGTGACTTTGGACGGATGCGACTTTGGATGGGTGCGACTTTGATGTGACTTTGGATGGACGTGACTTTGATGCAACTTTGAATGAATGCGACTTTGGATGGATGTGACTTTGATGCAACTTTGAATGAATGCGACTTTGGATGGGTGTGACTTTCCTGCAGCTTTGGATGGATGCAAAATTTATGTGATTTTGGATGGGTGTGATTTTTTTGCTAATAGGAAATTCTGTTCATGTAGTGCAGCTTTGATGCGACTTGAGTGCCAGAGACTGTAAGTCCCATCAAAGTCTCATCAAAGTTGCACTACATGAACAGAACTTTTATACTTTCCTCTTAGCAAAAAAGTCACACCCATCCAAAGTCACATCAAAGTGGCATCACAGTCAATACTTTCCCATTGGCAAAAAAAAAAAGCAAAATGCATCAAAAACTCAAAATGCTATCTACTGCAGGAAAAAAAGTCCCTGGGCCCTTTTAAAAAAAATGCACAGATGTGAACCAGATCCATAGGAAATCATGTAAAACAGACTGTAGTGTGTTTCTGCAAACTGGAAAATGAACTGAAATCTGCATAAGTGTGCACCTAAGGTAACCAATAAAAACAGCAAAAACGCATGTGTAAAAAAACACAAAGCACATGCAATAAGCATTATAAAATGGATCAAAAGCAAACTGCATAGGTGTGTACAAAACCTAGTCCTCATGCACAATGGACATTTTTCCAGTTGCTGTTTTTGGATTTTTGACCTTTTTTTCTACAGCCAGTAAACTCCCCAGCATGTTATCCTATGTGTCCATGCACACATAGACTGTAATCAATGTTTTTTTGCCTGGAAAAAAAACCCAGGACTAGTGGGTTTCTAGAGGTGTTTTTTTTAGCTGTAAACGTTCTAATGTTGAAAAATGTGGCAAACCTGCATTTTTGGACACAAAAAAAAACTAGAAACCGAAAGCAACAAGTATTATGCCACTTCCGGTTTTCTTGTACAAAGCATCTGCTCAAACCGATCTGAGTCTGATGAGATGCTTTCAGAGCAGATGAGAGATCTGGGGTCTAATAGACTCCAGGTGTCTCAGTGAAGAGTGCCTTTCACTGCCTATTGCTATTACAAGGGAAAGTTACATTACATATAGCAATAAAAGAAATCAAAATATCTAACCACCTCCGCAACATCTACAAAATACGTACGTTCCTAACTCCAGAAACTACAAAGCAACTCATTCACTCCCTTATCATCTCGCGACTTGACTACTGTAACTCCCTCCTCACCGGCCTACCCCAACACATCCCCCGCTTCAGTCTATCCTGAATTCTGCGGCCAGACTCATCCACCTTACCAACTGCTCCATATCCACCACCCCCCTCTGCCAATCCCTCCACTGGCTTCTGATTGCCCAACGCATAAAATTCAAAATCCTAACACTGATGTACAAAGCTGTTCATAACACTGCCCCAAACTACATCACTGACCTGACATCCATCTACCACCCAAAACGCACTCTTCGCTCCTCACAAGACCTCCTACTCTCCAGTTCCCTGGTCTCCTCCTCCCATACCCATCTCCAGGACTTCTCCAGGGCTTCCCCCATCCTCTGGAACTCACTACCCCAATCCATCAGACTGTCACCTTCCCTCCTCACCTTTAAACGTACCCTGAAAACCCATCTCTTCAGAGAAGCCTACCCTGCCCTCACCTAATTGCTGATCTCCGCCCCTCCCACCACTCCATCCCCCACAGCTATTTCCTCCTGTACTACTCTCCCCTCCCTCCTAGATTTTAAGCTCCAAGGACTGTCTCGTGTACTGTCTCCCCTTAATTATGTACAGTGCTGAGCAAACCGTTCGCACCATATAAATACTGTATAATAATAATAAAATCTTCTAAAAATAAAAAAAAAGTAATACAATAAATGAAAACTACATTTTTTGTAAAGCGTCCCTGTCCTGCAATGCTTGCATACAAAGGCGAACACATAGGAAGGTTGAGCACGCATATGTAATTGATGTTCCAACCACACCTGAGGTTTTGTCACAAAGGTTACAGTGAGCAATAATTCTAGCAGCAGACCTCCTGTGGATCTCCAAACTGGTAACCTGTAAAGGCTTTTAAAGCGTTGTCTATGGAGATTTTTAAGTGCTGAAGTTTGTCGCCATTCCACGAGCATGCGCAATTTTAAAGCATGACATCTTAGGTATCTATTTATTCAGCATTACGTCAGGGTCCATTTAGGGTCCATGCATACTGGACATTTTAACCAATTCCCTAGACGCCTTTCTCCTGGCAGCAGAAAAACGTGACAGTTGTAAACGTGAGTACCGCATTAAGTCGCATTAAACGCCTGGGCCTTAATTCATTTGATTGGCCAGAATAATAATTTATTATGGCCACTGAAATGAATTAATGCTCAAGCTCTAAACGTGTCTAGCATTAACACACTTCTAGACCTGTCTACCCATTTTTGTATCGTCAAGCCCTGGCCACATCAAAGCTGATTTTGAAATCGTGGGACTTACAGTAAAGTCGCTTGATTTCAAAATTGGTTAACCTACCGATTTCAGTTGAGATCTGCAAGACATCTGACACAGATGTCTATGCAAATTGCAACAAGTGTAGTGCATGTACTACTTTAGAAATCGATGCCGCTCTGACCAAGTCAGAACCGCAGAGATATGACCGCTCTAATAGCGGACAATAGGGTGCAACTTGGCATACCATTTGCAAGTTGCAGGGCATGCAAACAGCATGCCAATTCGCACCCGATGTGACCGGGGTGTAAGTGTTTTCTGCCAAAACTCTCCTGTCCTGAACACAATTCTTCTGAGGTGAATAGCATTTTTTCTCTAAATACTGCTGCTCCTAGACTGGTAAAAGAGGTGTGTTTAGGGACTTAGGCAAAAAAAACACCAAAAGCCCCAAACACATGCGTTTAGGAGCAGCAGTGTGCATGAGTCCTGAAAATAACTCCAGATGATGGACCAAATCTGTCCTGAGATTTTGCTTGCTTTATTTCAGTCCTTACCAGGGGCGGACTGACAACTTATGGAGCCCCCCGGGCAATAGGGGATCATGGGGCCCCTGTGTCCTTGCCCAAACTCAAAAAAGCCTATGAAAAAGGTACCAGGGGCATCTCATGGGGCCCCCTACTGACCCGGGGCCCTCGGGCAGTGCCCGAGTTTCCAAATGGTCAGTCCGCCCCTGGTCCTTACTACAATTAAATAACATTTATATGTGAAAAATCTTTTCTGGCTTTAAAACTGAACTCTGGGACAGAATGCTTCCATAATACTTTTTTTTACCAATCCGTTGTATTCACCAATAATTTCTAAATATTGTTGATTATTGATTGTTATAGGATATCATCCCTATCTTGCACTACTAGGTCATTAATGAAAGGTATTCTATCTTTATCACACTTACACATCTTTAGACCCCTTAAATGTGATACTTTTTATCTTTACTAGCATCAATCTACTTTTTCACTGATGCAGTTTACTGTTTTGGTGGAGATTTTGGATATTTTTTCACACATCAATGGAGCAGATTTACTAAAACTGGTGCACTCAGAATCTGGTGCATCTGTGCATGATGGCCAATCAACTTCTAACCTCAGCTTGTTCAATGAAGCTTTGACAATAAAACCTGGAAGCTGATTGGTTTCTATGCAGAAGTGCACCTACTTTCACACTCTCCAGTAAATAAACCCCAAAATCTGATGGCAATCATCATGGTGTATATTTTTTCCTCTGTGATATATTTTCTGCGTTTTGTATATTCTGTTCTTATATTGAAAACTTTATAAATTAAAGATTGCATAAAAAAAACTCAACTCCGTGAAAAGTAAACGTTCTGCTGTTTATGTCTAAGGGACTGGGTAAAGTAGTTTTACTTACCTGATCCTCCACTTCTGTGGGCTCCCCTGAGCTGCTAGACTCCTCTACCCTGAATGTTGGCAATCAGATGGCCTTGAAATTATCATGACAGATGCAGAGAGCATAGCCCTGCATTGGATGTGAGGATGCCAAGGAACAGTCCACTGTCAGAGCGTAGTGGGGTGCCATTTACCAGAGAGTGGAGGATCAAGTAAGTAAAACCACTTTTTCCTTCAACTAGACTAAATAAGCATTTAACCCTTACAGTGCATGCACAGCTCCTCTGCAAGAGAGGACTTTTACTTTTGCCGGAGTTGGGCTTTAAGGCACTGATATCACAATCCAAAGAAAACTTCTTATTACACTGGTCTACCATGACACAATCTATCCCCCCTTCAGTCTATTATGCATGCTGCTGCCAGACTTATACACCTTACCAACCGATCAGCGACTGCTGCCCTCTCTCTGCCAATTCCTTCACTGGCTTCCACTAACCCAACATATAAAATTCAAACTACTAACCACAGCTTACAAAGCCATCCACAACACTGCTATGGGGGATATTATAAAATGAATTAAGCATTTAAGGTAAAAATTATACAAAAATTTAGCTACATCACCAACCTCATCCACAGATACCACCCAAATCGCCCACTCTGCTCCTCCCATGATATCCTCCTCTATAGTTCCCTCATCACCTCCTCCCATGCTCACCTCCAGGACTTCTCCAGAGCCTCTCCCATCCTCTGGAACTCCCTACCTACCACAGTATGTCCGGTCAGCCCCCACCCTTTTTGCCTTTAGACAATCTTTGAAAACTCCCTTCTTCAGGGAAGCCTACCCCACCTCCACCTAAGAACTGTACTTGAATCACCTCCGCCAGATCATCCCCCACAGCTATCACCTTTTGTATCACCTCCCCTTTCCTTTAGATTGTAAGCTCCATGTGCAGGGCCCTCATATTCCTTCTGTACTGAAATTTATTGTAATTGTAATGTCTCCCTCAGCGCTGCGCAAACTGTTGGTGCTATATAAATCCTGTATAATAATAATAATTGCACAAGATAATACCAATTATTTATTCATGAACTGTTTTGCACCTCATCAGGTGAAATGAACAAGCCAACCAGATATAATAAATACAAATTAAAGATAGAAGATTAGTTTAGGTAATGTTAGGATGGTAAAGCCTAGTACTCCATTTGCATTAGTGCCGGAAAGGTTTTCATCCTCAGTCGATCAAGATCAGTGCGTTGCATGGCGATCTCGTGAGCTTGTGCCTTAACAAGATCTACTAATTTCCGCGCTGCAAAATGTCTTTGTATCTCTGTCTTGCATTCTTCTCGGCACTTTGCTCTGCACCTGAAGAAAATATCAAACAAACCATTAGACATGAACAGTATTTAGTATTGAATATGCATACCTTTCTTCGTTATTAAAGCACAAATATAGCTAAAACATGCTGCTTTTTAAGTTTTGGAAAGTCAGGAAAGGTTAGAGCCTCTGTAAAGTTTTTAGTGCTGTCTGAGTAGCAGGGGTGGACTGACCATTTTGAAACTTGGGCACTGCCCAAGGGCCCGGGGTCAGTAGGGGGCCCCATGAGATGCCCCTGGTACCTTTTTCATAGGCTTTTTTGAGTTTGGGCAAGGACACAGGGGCCCCATGATCCCCTATTGCCTGGGGGCCCCATGAGTTGTCAGTCCACCCCTGCTGAGTACCCATTATGAAGATTTTCCTTCACTTCCTGTCCTGATTTGAAACATGTAATCAGGGCAGGACATGGGCAGAATCTCTTGAATGAGGACGCAAACAGCAATAAGAGCACTTTGAGCTGTTTTGTTTGATCCCGCTCTACAGATTAGTGTGACAGCCAGGAACTTAGCAGTTTCAGAAGGAAGGGTCAGCACTGACAGCCCAAAAAACTCCCAGCTCACTTACGAGCCAACCTGCAGCAAACCAAATTAACCCTGTATAACAGTTTATGTTAAAAGAAGGGGTTTCATTTGCACACATTTGCAAATATATGCTTAAGCTGCAGAGGCCACGTCACGGCACCCCAGTGTACTGCAGTCCTATCATTTTGAGACTCTCCCATGTTGGAGCACATATATAATAATGGATAGATTAAGGGCAGGTATGACTAGAGGAGCCCATCTCTCCTTAATGGTATAGGGACACACTGGACACCCAGCAATGGCACAATGGCAGCTGAAGGCATCCAGTGCATTCCCGCACCAACTCAACAACTGTGCAAACTGTATGTTGCTCTTTCATGTGCTTCTTGCTGCAAAGGCTAGGTATAGGTTGGGGTGGTTGTCCTTTGTTTGTACAACCTACATGTGTTAATACATATTTTCTTTACTTTCATACGTCAGAACTTACCAACTACATCATAGATGTGTTTCCTTTCAGAGAAGGAGACAAGTACATCCTGCAGTTCTTTATCCAACTCTTCATCTGCTTCCATTTTCCTAATATATTTCTCTAAATCCTCGTGAGTTTTTTTATAGTGTTTCACATTTTTCTCATGTTGCTGCAAAACAAAAGAAGCATGTTTTAACTTGTGACTCTGTGACTAGACATTAGTATTTAATTGGGGTTTTCACACTGCTGGTGGAGTAATTCTGATATGGAAAAGCTGTTTTGTTGCCATTTGTTTGACATCCATGTATTTTGTATGCTTCAGCTATGATCCAACTCATTGGATCACAGGATACAAATTAGACAAATGCTTGCTACTTAAAATTCCTTGAGAATTGAGCTCATGTGCTGGAGGCTGAGGTTCAATGTAAGTATTTTTACCTATTTCTTTTAATAGGTTTTTTTTATGTTTTAATCACTTTGTTTCATAGGGGGGGGGTGGTAAGGAAATAAGTGGAGGTCTGCCTTAACTGTTAAGGGTAAGGTTAGGTACATGTGTTTTTAAAAACATTTGTCAGTGATCTTCAATTTACAAGGTATAAAGGGCCTCAACTGCTGCCACTGATATTAATATAGGACCGCAAATAAGGTTTATTATTTGCAACACTAGAGAGGACAGTCAAAAAATGCAGACATGCAAGAGGAGATGATGGTCAGAGAATGTGGACATGCTACAGATTTGTTCGGGTCTGGACACATGCTACAGAGGACAGTGAGAAAACTGGGAACATATAACATGAGGCTAGAGAGACCACTGTGATTATCACTTTACAAATCAGTGCTGCCACTCCCTTTACAGACTGCTGGGGTTCAAGAACCACACAAGTACCAAAGGCCACTCACTGGGCACCAGGAACCTATGTACTAGCTTGTAGCTCTGCTAAAGAGCAGAATTTCCTCATACTAAAAATATCAGCCTCCTTAATGCCACATGCATGCCCTTCATCTTGGTAATGGGTGCCAAACATGTGGTTTCAAAGCTGAACTCTAGGTATGAATTGTATTGCATACTTAGGTCCAGCTTGGACCAATGTAAGTATGCATACAACATACCTGTGGGACTGATGTGGAAGCGGAAAATCACTGTAGCAGTCACCAATACTACAGTGATAACCACTGTTTTTTTTAGTCCAATTGTTCAGCACTGCTGCCATTTACTGAATGCCATTTTTTTAAATGAACGCACAGCATTTTCTGATTTGACGAGGGTTGTGACATCATCTCATGTTGCTCTGTGCGGGACCTTGAAGACAGAGTTGATCACTGTAGTAGCAGAGACTACTTCAGTGATTCTCTGCCTCCACAGCAGTCCCATGGGTACAGCATAAACATATTTATATTGATACATGCTGGACCAATGTAACTACAGTATAAGAAAATTCATACCTGGAGTTCAGCTTTAAAGCAGTCACATGGTCAGTAGCTTGTGAAAAAGCATTTACAGTTTGTATACTTTGCTCTGATTTTTTTTTAAACCAGCTGATGCACAAAGGAATCATGGGATACAATTAAAAAGTTTTTTTTTTTAATATGTTTAGGTTTTTTTAAATAACAAGTTCATTTTAGCATTTAGTTTATTTAGTGCCTAGAGTTAATCTTTAACACACAGCTTACTATACAAGGCAAAAGCGATAATTTTGGGAGAAGATATTTTACACCTATATTCACAGTGAAATGTTTTTCATAATTATAGGCAGCAGCAAATCCTTCACCTCTACCGTTGTTACACCAGCTTCTACATACTGTATGTCTACTCTCATTTATCTAGGTCTTGATATAGCTAGTAGTAGTTACAAACATTCAATTCGACTTGTTTAGCACAATTGACAGTGTAACCGGGTGCCCGCCAGCTGTGTGAATCCTCCATTCCCCCCCCCCCCCTTTTTACTGCTGGCTCTGAGGTTCGCTGGCTGTGTGATCTCCAGCCAGCTCTCTACTTTCACTTTCCTGTTGTGCAGAGAAGCTGTGGGCTCTCCCCACTCTGTACTTAGGATCAGAGTGGGCTGTGTAAAGCCCCCCCCCCCCTTTGCTCCTACTCCCCCCTTTCCTTCTTGACAATGGCAGAGAAGACTTGCTGTGTAGCTGCAATGGAGTCTGGGATATGTAGTCTTTACTGCACCATGGAAGTGGATTGGCTGCAGAACTACAGAGTGCCCTACTAGGAGAGGAGGAGGGAACCATGAGTTTCCCAGGCAAATGTGCAGAGATCTGGGTAGTCAGTGCTGGTGAACCAGCGTGTGCGGACCTGCTGCTATGCGTGCCTACTCTGGGAAAGATATTACAATTCTTTAACCAGCGCTCAAGTGTCTCCAATCAGCTGCTAGACTGCACAATAACACCCCCTAGTGAATTTCAGTATGTAAATTCTAAAAGTCCAGCACTTAAATATATGCAGCTGTTTCTTCAATCAGCCAATAGGTAAGTATATCCAGTGGCTTCAATCTCAAAAATTCTTATCAGATTTTCCAACCCATACACCAATCAATGGGTATAATAAAGATTTTTTTTCACTTCTCTGTGTCTTCCTTATACCTCTTCACAATCTCTCCAGTGTATCCCCCCAAAAAAGTAAAAAGCTCATATAGTGCAGTGTCTTCCAAACTATAAAACACTATCCACTCATGTGCCCACTTGCATTCATACCATCATACTGCACTATTTGAATACAAGGTGTGATCCATTGAATTTGGATTGATGGGTGTGATGATTTTTTTTTGTTTAGTAAGGATTTAAACAAAAGGGGAATCACAAATTCACTGATCACTGGTGGTTACAGATACATGATGGTATGCATGCATGTGAGCACATAAGTGGAAGTGTATTACAGTTTGGAAGGGAGATAATAATTGTGCGCAGCCCATTGGTATAAATGCGGTCTGACAGTCAGATGTCTAACCCGCTGATGAAGTCACGTGACTAAGCGACGATACATGTAGGGAGGGGCTTGATGACGCACACCGCACAGACTGGAAGTGAGCAGGCCGCCTTTTTGCATTAAACCATACCACATACAATACATGTATTCTGCAGTGCACCAGTTTATAGTGCACTTTTAAAGTTGAAAGTTTATAAATTGGGAGTTATTTTTAATGATAATACTGCTGGATACACAGAGAGTACTATGTGTACTCTTCTTTTTTGAGCTTCCCATGTTCATGTGGAGGATGGCCAAGGATAGAGATGGACTGAGGATTACCTGGATACCACTGAGTGAAACACCATTCCATTTATAGGCACCCAGCCTTAAAGGGGAAAGCACTTAAGACCTACTATCCCATTTTGGTCATAGGATCAGGTGAGAGCATTTCTTTATTGGTGGCGGCATGGCACTTTGTATGGTGAATTACAAAAAACGTGAAGTGAAATTTCTGGAACAACACCTAATTCTTAAAGGCAAAGTCACAGGAATTGTGTGGACTTCATACAAACTTGTTTATTTTCAGCTGGGACTTTTGTTTCACATTTAGTCACAAATGTACATTTATATATGTTTTTCTGATAATATATGATTTTTGTTATTTTGTTTTTTCCCTGGAGAATATCACTATACATTCTCACTGTAAGTGTGATAGTACTGGTTTGCATGTTTTACTGCATGGCACTATTTGAAAATTAGTTTTATTACAATTTGTAAGATACTGCTCTATATGAGCTGTTTTTTGGGGATGCACTGGAGAGATTTGAAGAGGGTTAGGGAAGACAAGGAGATGTTTGAATGAAAAAGAGCTTTATTAGACCCATTGATTGGTGTATGGGTTGGAAAATCTGGTAAGAATCTTTGAGATTGAAACAACTGGATATACTGACCTATTGATTGATTGAAGAACAGCTGCATATATTTAAGTACTGAACTTTTTGAATTTACAAACTCTTGGAAGGAGCCTGGTGGAGACTAGAGCTGTGTGCTGCATCCATAAAGGCTGAGGACTAATCCACAGAGAGTTTCTTGTACTGTGGACTGTGGGGCATAGACTTGCTGCTCCTAACTATCTGTGCCCACCTTCAGAGAGATTGATCCTGCAGAGAGTCTGAATGCAGGGACTGGACCTGATTGTGAGGACCACGACTTCTGGAACAACTGACCACCAAATGTTTGGGACCAGACCTGTTTGCATGCCAGGAGTGGTGAGAGGAACTACAGAACTTAACCCCTTACAGCCCACAGTTAAAGCAATAGAGACTACTCATTATTTAGTAGCCCATCAGCCATCCATTGTACACTAATAAAAGGGACAGCTTCATGTGCACCACCTTACAGAAGGGTCCCAATGATAGCTGGCTAATACTGACAATTAGGCGCCAGTTACTTTGCAGATATTCTCAGGGGTACCCCTCTTAGGAACACATACACCCACCCATGATTGGGGTAGTATGTGTCATGTGCACACAAGGACCTTTATTCTTGGGTTAGTTAATGCCTATACCTTTAACCCTGTTTGCATCAGTTAAAATTGAGTTTAGCATTACTACAGTTCATTTGTTTGCCATCTTATGGGTCAATGTTCACATTATCTAGTACAGCATCTTTAAACCTGTTTGATTGCTTGTAGATGGTGTCATGCATTGTTAAACTGCCTTGCCATAATACATCCATTTAATCTGCCTTCCAGTTGCTTGTGGCTTATTTCCTGTGCAGTATTATAGAGTGGTAGCTTACTAACTTTTAAGTTACACAGGTGTGAGCGGCCTTCAATCTATAACCAGGCGTGTCAGATGGGACAGAGCAGTTTAAGGAGTCATGGCAGAACAGAGGATCCATCAAACCAAGCGGCTCTTGCGGGGAGTATCGCTACAACAGCTTCTACATAATGATTAATAGAAAAATACTTAGCCTTTTCAACATACTTTTTCTTGGACATTAATAGTTTCTTCCAGAACCAGGATCTGGTTAGATACACGCTTGTCATAATTTGATTCATTGAGAAACTATGTAACAAGAAAAATAAAAATGTTGGTTAACAATGTGCAATAAAGTTTCATCTCTGTATTACTTATTCCATTTATTATACTTATATTACAGATCTGGTGGAAATTTTTGAATTGAACAATAAAATGCTTGCTTTCCTTCTTGCAAACCTATTCTCAAAAAATAACAAATGCTCATAGTTTGTTGATTTGTACAGCATGTTATAGGGTAAATATGTGTTTAACCTCTCGCCAACCATGTACAGTAACTTATATTTTGCAGCAAGAAAAGTAGACTCTATGCCCAGCTGCCGCACATAAACATCCATGGTGACCTGCGTTTGTGTACTGAGAGCAGGGCTGCTGTTAGAAATCATGGACCCCATACAGCCTATCTGACAGCCCATCCTGAAGATATGAAAATTATATTTTCAATAAAAAAACACTAAAATCGTTATTAGCAGACACAAACATTACATAACTTACAAAATTCCTGCCGAATCAGTCGAACAAATCTGGCTTCAAAATTGAAGGAACTGGGTGGAAAATTATCAACCAAACAGTGACTACATCCAATCAGATGCAGTCACTATCTGGGTATTCAGACAGCCACGGCTGCCGCTGTCTGAATACAATAGCCAACAGAGGAGATTCCCTCATCTGTTTTGTGTGGATGGGGTAAGGGGGGACCCTACACTGTAACTGGGACAGTTACACTGACCTCAACACAACAGGAGTATTTACACCAACCGCCAATGTAATTGAGACATTTACAATGTCCAACAAAACATGTAATGTAACAGATGTATTTACAGTGACCTCCTCCCATTTCTCTGCTCATCTCTGCATTTCATCTCCCTCTCAGTACACCTTTGCATCCCAAATCCCCCTGCTGCCTTCTGTGCCCCAGCCCTCCACTCCACTAACCTCTGCACCCCAACTTCCCCCCCCACCACACTCTGCTAGCCTCTGCACTCCAAACACATTTCTGTTCAACTCTGCTCCCCAACCTATGTTCAACCTATGTCTCCCAAAACCCCTCCTCTACTTCTGCACCCCAAATCCTACCTCTTCCAACCTCTACCCCCAAACCCCTCCTCTACTAAACTCTGCACCCCAAATCCCACCTCTTCTAACCTCTGCCCCCCCAAACCCCTCCTCTACTAACCTCTGCACCCCAAATCCTACCTCTTCTAACCTCTGCACCACAAATCCCACCTCTACCCTCCAAGTCCCTTTTCTACTAACCCCTGCACCCCAAATCCCACCGCTAACTTCTGTCTCCAACCCACTCCTCTACTAACCTCTGCACTCCAAATCCCACCTCTGCTAACATTTGCACTCTAACCCACCTCCCCTCCCTGTTTACCTCTACATGCCCCCTATGCTTACCTTGGGAATACTAACCCCTCCTCTGCTTATCTTTGTACCCTAAATGATAATCCCTTTCACTTTACACCTCTGCACTCTACCTGTTCACCTTTTTATCCCAAGCAATAACCCCCTTCACTTTACTCACCTCTGGTGCAGGATTTAAACCACCTATTTACATCCTTAGGTGGGTGGCATGCAGAGGAGGGGCGTTATTTGCATATGAATCCTGTCAGATGTTAAAATATCGGTGCAATTTATATTTCAATGCCTGGGATTTAATTACAGAACCCTGCCCTGTGTTACTCTCCCTCCAGCGACCGAAAGCCAGCGGGAGGGGGAAAAAAAGCTTTCAGCTGCTGCAGAGAGCTGCATAGGGTATTCTTTCTGTTAATAACCCCACCCCACCGCACTGATAATCCTCCCTGCCCAGGCCCCCCCCCCCCCCCCCCGTGTGCCGGGCCCCCTACAGGAGGATTGGGGATACTCCACTATCGGAGGATTGGGGGTACTCCACTATCGGAGGCCCAGTGAGCTCCGGTGAGCACACTCACTCAGCACTCCCAGCATATTGACCAACCTGTCCCCAACATCTCTTGATTATGGCTTCTGTTTGGAAGCCAGCTGGTTGGAATCCCAATCATGTGACCAATGTGAGAGTCATACACAGGAGTCCCAAAACAGAAAATCAGTGTGTTAAGGAGGTAAACGATAAAGCGTTTGGATCTGTTTTATTTTGTTTTAGTTGCTTTGTTTATTTTTGTATATTTTCAATAATGTATTTGTAAAATAATAATCCTTCATTTACAAGTACACATTTCCTACAGAGAGCACCATTGACACTGATGCTGCACAGCTTAGCATAGGATACTTCAAACTGACTTTCAATATTTAATTCTGCATTGGAAAAAGCAGGCAGAAATGGAGAGGGATAAATCACTTCTTTGATTTATGATAAATCGTGAATGTTAAATCATTCATTTGTATGTGTAAATCTTTTACTTAGGTATTGAGCTTTATAACAAGGCTTCTGTTTCAACAAGGCAGTTGAGTTTAGCCTAGCAAATATGTAAAAGGGAGCCTGGAGCCTGGTTAGGAATGTAAATATGAATGAGAAATATTTTATATTTATAATTATGGCATTTTTACCTGATTTAATATATATATATTTTGAAGTTTTATTTTTTTGTCTAGAACTTAATAAATAAAAATAAATAAATATAAGCATGTGTATACACCTAACAACTGGCCACACTGCAGGCTGATAGTTAGCACTATCATACTCATTGTCATCTGGTCCAACAGATCCGCCTGCCATTGATGACCTTCTCTGAAATTGCTAGTTTCTGGGCACAGAACTGGCATGACAGACAGGCAGTTCACATTTTTTATGACAGGGATAAGCATCATCAGCCCAAGTACTGCTCTTTGTACAAGCTTCAGTTTTAACGTTTTTAAATTGTTGTTTCTCCTTTTACTCTGTATATAATTATAAGGGTTATAGAAGTATTTTTAGAATTGTAAAAAGGCTGAAGGGATCTAAGATATCCCAAGAACATACTTCCTTAATAACTTAAGCTAGCGAATACAGGATATCACTTAAACTCCCAACTTTCTGCATTCAGCCCCTCTCACACAAGCAATTTGATGGGGTCCACCTGTCCGTTTTTCAGGCGGCCTGAATGCACCCTCTATTCTCCTCTATGGGCAGTTGGATGCAAACAGACTTGTATCCATTTACACCCAGCTACCTCTGACCCGATCAGGCAAATACAAACAGAAGGGGATCCATTCTCCTCCCCTAGCCGGATCGGAAGGCAGTCAGGTGTACATGGACAGATCCCCCGCTGAGCAAACAGGGTAAAAACAGATTCTGCCCTGTGTGAAAGGGGTCCTAATTGATGCATAGCAAGCTAAAATTCTTTAATATTTAACACCGTATAATACTCTACTAATTTTAAACACTGAAACAATCACGTGCCTGTTTCAGTTTAACTAACCAAAGTAAATATTGAATATATTGTGCTTATTTTATAATTAAAGCTAATATAAATTATTTGCAAAGTGTCATACGATCTGAATTTCTTTAGTCACACGGAGCATCGTAATGTCTCTCGATTTCTTTTTCAAGTCTTCCATCTCCATTCGGATCTTCTTGTGTTCCCACTCAAGCTGAAATATTCCTTTACGGAAATCTTTACTTTCCACCATGATGGCAATTTTCTGTTCTCCAAGGCCCTATGTAAATGTATGGGACAGTAAGAAAAAATGTAACATTGCCACTTTAGTGTTATGTGATCATCCTGTGTATATGCAAGTTGTACTCCTAAGTTGCCTTTGCTTTTGCTAAATGTTGGTAGAAAGAACTTCCATAAATATGAGAAGGACATAACATATTTATGTCACATATCCGGAAAATATGATGGCAAAAAAGAGATGTGTTAAAAAAAAACAAAACAAAAAAAAATTCAATATCTTTAAGCTCAACTCTGGGTTCTATGCTTCCCCCCACACCCAGCAGTATTTCATATATACTGTATATACACTATATTGACAAAAGTATTGGGACGTCTGCCTTTACATGCACATGAACATTAATGACATCCCAGTCTTAGTCCATAGAGTTCAATATTGAGTTGGCCCATCCTTTGCAGCTATAACATCTTCAACTCTTCTGGGCAGGCTGTCCACAAGGTTTAGGATTGTGTCTTTGGGAATGTTAGATCATTCTTCCAGAAGCACATTTGTGAGGTCAGGCACCCCAAACTCGTTCATCCATGTTTTTATGGACCATGCTTTATGCACTGGTGCGCAGTCATGTTGGAACAGGAAGGGGCCATCCCCAAACTGTTTCCACAAAGTTGGGAGCATGAAATTGTCCAAAGTGTCTTTGAATGCTGACGCCTTAGGAGCTCCCTTTACTGGAACTAAGGGGCCAAGCTCAACCCCTGAAAAACAACCCCACACATAATCCCCTTCCACCAAACTTATCACTTGGCACAATGCAGTCAGGCAAGTACCGTTCTCCTGGCAACTGCCAAACCCAGACATGTCTATTGGATTTCCAGACAGAGAAGCATGATTGGTCACTCCAGAGAACACATCTCTACTGCTCTAGAGTCCAGTTGCACCATGCTTTACACCACTGCATCAGATGCTTTGCATCGCACTTGGTGTATCAGACTATCATCGCCTACTCTGCTCACTTTTAGGTGATCTCTGAAAACCTCTCTCTTCAGGGAAGCCTATCCTGCCCTCAGCTAATAATGAAACCTTCTACTCTTCCAACCAGTCCATCCCCCACAGTTACTACCTTTTGTACCACTAGCCCCTCCCTCCTAGATTGTAAGCTCCAAGGAGCAGGGCCCTCCTGTCCCTCTTGTATTGAACTGTATTGTTGTTGTATTGTCTCTCTTTATATTGTAAAGCGCTGAGCAAACTATTGGCACTATATAAATCCTGTATAATAATAATAATGTAAGGCTTGGATGCAGCTGCTCTCAGCCATGGAAACCCATTCCATGAAGCTCTCTATGCACTGTTGTTGTGCTAATCTGAAGGCCACATGAAGTTTGGAGGTCTTTAGCTATTGACGCTACAGACAGTTGTTGACTTCTGTGCATTGTGTGCTTCAGCATGCGCTGACCCCGCTCTGTCATTTTATGTGGCCTACCACTTCATGGCTGAGTTGCTGTTGTTCCCAGTTGCTTCCACTTTGATATAATGCTACTAACAGTTGACCGTGGAATATTAAGTAGCAAGGAAATTTCACGAATGGACTTATTGCACAGGTGGCAACCTATCACAGTACCATGCTTGAATTCACTGAGCTCCTGAGAGTGACCCATTCTTTCAGAAATGTTTGTAGAAGCAGTCTGCATGCCTAGGTGCTTGATTTTATATACCTGTGGCCATACATACATACAGCGGGTAAAGTAAGTATTGAACACGTCACCATTTTTCTAGGTAAATATATTTCTAAAGGTGCTATTGACATGAAAAATTTTCACCACATGTTGTTATCAACCCATGCAATCCAAATATACAACAAAAACCAAAACAAATAAGTTCAGAAATTAGGTTATGTGCAATAAAATGAAATGACACAAGGAAAAAGTATTGAACACATGAAGAAAGGGAGGTGAAAAAAGGCATGGAAAGCCAAGACACCAGCTGAAAGCTATCAGTAATTAGAAAGCAATCCTGCCCTTTGTCAGTGCAAATTATTATCAACTGGTTCAGTGTCAACTGATGGCCTATAAAAAGGTGTCTTATTACCAACGTGTCACACAAGAAACATCTCATGATGGGTAAAAGCAAAGCACTCTCTCGAAGCCCTTTGTATCCTTATTGTTGCAAAACATACTGATGGTATTGGCTATAGAAGGATTCCTAAACTTCTAAATGTTCCAGTGAGCACTGTTGGGGCCACATTTCAGAAATAGAAAAAACAAGATTTCTGAAGGAGTGAAAAGAACTGTCAGAAGAGTTGTCCAAGATCCAAGTACCACTTGTGGAGACCTGGAAATAGCAGGTACAATTGTTTCAAAGAAAACAATAAGTAATGCACTCAACCATCATGGCTTGTATGTACGCTCACCACGCAAGACTCCGTTGCTGAAGAAAAAGCACATTGCACCTCATTTAAAGTTTGCTGCACAACATTTAGACAAGCCTGTGAAATACTGGGAGAATATAGTCTGGTCAGATGAGACCAAAATTGAACTCTTTGGATGCCATAATACATACCATGCTTGGAGGTCAAATGGCACTGTACATTACCCCAAAAACACCATACCAACAGTGAAGTTTGGAGGTGGGAACAGCATGGTGTGAGGCTGTTTTTCAGCATACAGTACTGGCAAACTTCATATCATTAAAGGAAGGATGAATGGAAAAATGTACCAACATATTATTGATAGAAATCTGCAGCCATCTACCAGGATGAGGAAGATGAAACAAGGGTTGTCATTTCAGCAAGACAATTATCCCAAACACAATGCCAAGGAAACTCTCAATTGGTTTCAAAGAAAGAAAATAAAGATGCTAGAATGGCCCAGCCAATCACCTGACTCGAATCCAATAGAAAATCTATGGAGCGAACTAAAGAGTTCATAGAACAGTCCCACAGAACCTTCAAGATTTGAAAACTGTGTTTAAGAATGGGCAAAAATCACACCAGAGCAATGCATGCGACTAGTTTCTCCATACAGGGGGCGTCTTGAAGCTGTCATTACCAGCAAAGGGGTTGATTTACTAAAGGCAAATAGACTGTGCACTTTGTAAAGTGCAGTTGCACTCTGCAAGAGCAGCTGCTCCAGAGCTTAGTAAGTGAGCAGAAGCTCTGTTGACTTCCATCATCCAATCACATGCAAGCAAAAATGCTGGGGTTTTTTTTTCCGCTGCACATGATTGTATATTTTTTGCAAAGTGAAACTGTACCTCATTTACTAAGCTCTGGAGCAACAGCACTTGCAGAGTGCAACTGCGCTTTGCAAAGTGCAAGGTCTATTTGCCTTTAGTTAATCAATCCCAAAGGATTTTGTACAAAGTATTAACCACTTTCCTACTGCCCCATAGCAGAAATACTGCTACAGGGAGGCAGGGGTGCGCAAAATCACGTATATATGTGACTTTGCATTTCCGGGTATGGGGCGTGCACGAGCCATGCGCACACCCTAAGCGCGCCTCCATTGGTGGCCTCACCTGTCGCCATTGGCGGCCTCCCTACCGACACCCGGCAATCGCCGTGTATCACGGACAGGCGTAAACAATACAGATCTCTCTCCTGTCAGATCCTGCACACTGCTTTGTATGGCTCTGCATAGCAGAGCCATACAAAGCAGTGTGCTTACAGTATAAAGCACACAGTAAAGCAACACACAGCACACAGTTACCCCTTTGATCGCCCCCAATGTTAACTCCTTTCTGCCCAGTGTCATTAGTACAGTGTTTTTTATTAGGTGTCACTGGGGATGTCAGTGACTGTTAGTTCCCCCCCAGTGTCAGAATGCCCGCCACAGTCCCGCTGCAAGTCACTGATCGCCGCCATTACTAGTATAAAAAAAATTAAAAATAAAAATTCCAGTATATATACTGCCATTTGTAAACGATATAACTTTCACATAAACCAATTAATTTACAAGTATTGGGATTTTGTTTTTAGCAAAACATGCGCCAGAATACATTTTGGCCTAAATTTATGACGTTTTTTATGATTTTTATAAATTTTTTACTGGATACGTTTAATAGTAAAAAGTCAAAAATATTGTTTTTTCTCAAAATTGTCAGTTAAAGTAACGTAGCATCAAATCGCAAAAAAATGGCCTGTTCAGAAAGGGGGGTAAATCCTCTGGAGGGCAAGTGATTAAATAAAGTGCAGTTAGCGTGTGTACTTTTTCCCTGTGTCATCCCATTTTCTTACACATAACTTTAATTTCTACTGTATTTGTTCTGATCTCTTTGTATATATGGATTGCATGGGTTGTTACCGACATGTGATGAAAGTTTCATGTCAACAGCACCTTTAGACATATATTTACCTAGAAAAATGATGATGTGTTTAATACTTATTTTACCCGCTGTATATCCAGATGTCTTTAAGCTGGTCATGTGATGTACAGTACATATGACTCCGTCAGTGGGCAGCCCTCAATGATACAGAGAACGGTGCTGATGTCACTGTGGTGTCACTCCCTCAGGAGGCGGGTCCATGACAACCTGCAGACACAAGCAACCCAGAAGACTGAGGACATCTAGGGGCAGAAAGAAATTACTGCAAGGGAGCAGCACCTGAGAAGAGGAGAGGTGAGTGTTGCAGTCACAGCTGCTTTTTTGTTTTTAAACACTATCTGGGAGACTATATTTTAAAGATGTGCCATGAGTTGGAGACTAATAGCAAATATTTTAGTCTCAAGCAGAAAAAAAACACAATACCACAATAAATGTGTGTTTCAGCTCCTTCCAACAGATAAGCATTCATACTGAGATTTACCCTTATGCTGCTATTCAAATCTTCGATCACACTCCTGTGCAGCAGTATCGCATCAGCATAATTAGGCATTAAATCTGTATTTTCAACTTCCACTTGTCCTTGCTTAAGTATGAACTGGACAGTCAAATCCAGCAGAAACTTCATTTTCTCATTCCGCAATCTGTAATGATGAAATGAGGAAAATATGTTTTATTATGGACCAATAATAATAAAGTAGACAGTGGCCATTGAGATTTAATTTGACCTTATTTTCATCAGTACAGGTTTAATGTAGATGAGGTTCTATGGGTTCCAGCACTTTACACGGTGTCACTGTTTAGCATCGCCTTATTGAATCATCCTCACATGACACTATAAGGATCTGTGTTGACAGGTTTTGGCCATGTGTTGATGACACCAACTTGCTGCTGCTTCTAAGAATATTCAGAATTAATTGGGAGGTATATGTGAGTTGTAGTTGAACTCCTTCTGAAATATATTTCATTTGCTATAGTGCATTCCTATAAACTCGTATAGGAATGCCAAACCTTTTTAAAGCGACAAAAAGCCAATCAAGTGGTTGTAAACGCAAATATTAAAAAATTTACTTTTTGCCATAAATGAATAAATGCTAATGTGAATATACAGTACATACAGCTGTGAGTGTACCTCAGACAAATGTTCTCTTAGCTTGTCTCAGTCCTCCAAAAACTGCTGGTCTGTAGGCGTGGCTTAGGACCAGAGAATAGTAGGCAGCAGGGGCGGACTGACCATATGGAAACTCGGCACTTCCCGAGGACCCGGGGTCAGTAGGGGGCCCCATGAGATTCCCCTGGTACCTTTTTCATAGGCTTTTTTGAGTTTGGGCAAGGACACGGGCCCATGATCTCCTATTGCCCGGGGGCCCCATGAGTTGTCAGTCCACCCCTGGTAGGCAGATGTGATGTCACACAATCCCTCAGTTATACACACCCTCCAGCCTCGGCTCAAGAACGTGCACAGCTATCTGATATCTCTATGCCTGCGAGCATGTCTCCTGAGTGCATTATTATTATACAGTATTTATAAAGCGCCAACAGTTCGCTCAGTGCTGTACATTACAAAGGGAGACAGAACATGCGACAGTACAATAACAATACAATGTGATACGCGAGGGGTTCGAGGTCCCTGCTCCTTCATTCAGGGGAATGCACAGGACTATGTCAGCTCTGCTTACAGCACATGATCTGTGCTAATCAGGAGAAAGCTGGTAGGAGGGGGTTAATGTTAAAAATCCTAGGAATCCTGCAACCTAAAGTGGCAATGTGGAGCAGGAAACATTCTCATGTAAAACTCTGTAAACAGCAATTTACAAGCTAGGTACTGTGAATAGAGCAGTACAATAATCAACTGTAAGCAGACTTACCTAGATAACCCAACTACAGCATTACTGAAGTGATGCCGATCTATGTCATAAATCACTGATGCTGAGTTCTCGATCTTGTGAAAGCAGAGACCAGCAGGGAGAGGACACCCACTCCCCCACCCCTTTGCAGTGTATTACATGGATGTTCATTCTAATCTCGTCTTCAGCACAGTCTGTCACTCACAGGAGAAGGGGAGTGGAGACACCATTTTTCTGCTTGTGTCAGATTTATTCTGTTCAGAAGAACAGGGGGGATTTCTGGAGAAGGGGATTTCTTCAAGATACCAAACTAAGCTCAAATGCTTAATAATGATCAAATCTATTCAACTGTAGGATTAGATTGATTTGTGTTTTTTAGGTTTACAAATATGTAGGTCTGCATTGTCTACCTCCATCTGAAAATGCTAGTTTCCTAGTTGTTACTGAATGAATACTTTCTGAGTCAATGACACTGAATAAGCATGCAGCAAGGCAAGGCAGAGTAATATCAAAATTCTGGTGCTGCATCTATCCCCTGATGCCTTTACACTAAGAATTGAGTGATCAAAGACTGCTGATTGCTCAGTTCTCAGTTCTGCTCTGAGCAGTCAGTCATCACTCTGCTCTGCTCCTCTAGTGTTCACTGGAGTGCTGGAATGTGCAGGGGGCAGCTGGCTCAGGCTCTCGGGGGTGTGATGAAAGGCTGAGACAAGTGCCAGTCAAGCATCTGGGCAGATTATTGTTGGGATCCTTGCATAGCCTGGACTGGCTCTGTGTTGGCTATACATAAGTCACAGGAGTGCAGAACTAAGTTGTTTGGCCATACATCTCCTTTAAAATTAGCGTATCTGTTCCACATCAGTGACTCTAAAAGTACTAAAGCTAGAGGACTAAATTGACAACCAAGCAACCATCCATCATTTCAAACGGAGAGGTCAGCAATGGGAGACTATTTGTTTTCTTTAAATTTTTTTACATTTTTTTTCTGGTATCTGTTCTTCTCTCTCACCTCTTTATAAAGCCATGGCAAAGGAAAGACAGATCAATGACCTTGGTGTGCACAATCATTAGGCTGTAAATGGTGTGACAGAAATATCAATCAAAATGTTCAGATAAGTCTTTACAGCGAAACACCTTCTACTTATATGCCAGGTGCTGTTTGCAGGGAACAGTGCTGCAAAATCTCTGTTCTCTCTGCTGTTTACCTGCTGAACTGCACAGCTAAGATTTCATCTCTAATGTTTGATGTAAAGTAAAGGTAAACCCTAATTGAATGACATGTAGTTTGTTAATGCGATGTGTATAATAAACAAAAGCATTTTTAACTTAAGTTAATACAACTTTTAAATTTTTTAATCCTTTGTTGCATCTCAGTGCTGCTGATGTCAGCAGACTCTTTGCAGCCTCTTCCAGTCTACAGTATATGCATGCACTCCATCTATAACTATGTAATGTGTGTTGAAATGGCCACTTGTAGTATCATATTAGAAGCCTATGGGGTTTATTTACTAAAGTTTGAGAGTGCAAAATCAGGCTCACTTCTGCATAGAAACCAATCTGCGTCTAACTTCAGCTTGTCCATTTAAGCTTTGGCAATAAAACCCTGGAAGCTGACTGGTTTCTATGTAGAAGTGGGCCTGATTTTGCACTTTGCAGCTTTAGTAAATAAACACTTGTGTGATAGTATGATAAAGCAGGAGCCAAACTGGGAGGTAAGGACAGAACAATGTCACCCTATAACAGAAAGTGCCTGATCAAGGACCTTCATGGGAGGATCACCATGTATTATATTAAGCTGCATATTTAAAAGTATTGAAAATTACAGTTTAAATTATGTTAAAACTTATATGAGAATTTGGCAATTGGATTTACAAATATTAAATATTTAATAAACTATCGCCTATGGAGATTTTTATGTATCAAAGTTTGGCTCCGTTCCACGGGCATACACAATTTTAAAGCATGACATGTTAGGTATCCAGTTACTTGGGGTAACATCATCTTTTGTATTAAAAAAAATGGGTATTATATAGTTTTTGTGTGCAATGAAATAATTAAAGTTTATTTGAAAAACAGATGTGCAAATACCATGTGACAAAAAAACATTGCAACACCCACCATTTTATTCTCTAGGGCCTCTGCTAACAAAATATATATAATGTTTGGAGGTTCTAAGTATTTGTTTAGCAAAAAAATGTAGATTTCTACATACACTGTATGTGAGAAGAGTCAGAATTGGCCCAATGTTAAAGTGGATGAATATATAGAATGTAGTGCAAGGCACCAGAGCCAAGAGTGGATAGTGAGTGAACAGGAAGGAAGGCAAATATTTTTCTACAGTAGCATTCCCAGCAAAAGACACCATGAAGGTAAATACAATTTATAGGTCACACTACTCCAAGCACTGCCATTTTAAGCTGCCATAGTTTACCTTTAATAAACAAATATGCTAGCTGTCTTATGTAATTGTGGATAAGACTAAGGTATACATTTTCAGACGTATACATACCAGGGGCGGACTGACCATTTGGAAACTCGGGCACTGCCCGAGGGCCCGGGGTCAGTAGGGGGCCCCATGAGATGCCCCTGGTACCTTTTTCATAGGCTTTTTTGAGTTTGGGCAAGGACACAGGGGCCCCATGATCCCCTATTGCCCGGGGACCCCATGAGTTGTCAGTCCGCCCCTGATACATACACGTGTTAACTGGCAACATTATGGAGCTAACTAATTAGACCATATACCTAAGGGAATGTGAATTTTACATTTTTGGCTACAGGGTCTTTACTGCTGAGACTTAAGGGATACTAACTGAAACTTCTTTGATGACTTAGCACCTAAATCTATATATCTGAATATAAAAACACATCTGCTTCCGAGAATGATGTATTGACTGTCTAAATGATATGTTTAGTAGCGTTAAATAATTCTCTTTTTGGACAAAAACTAAAAGTGCTGATTAAGGGCAGAGGACTAATTTGCAGGCTCACTTTAAACCTGCGGTAGCATGTTATTGTGCATTTTTCATTAGTTTTTATCACGCAGAAAACACGCAGCAAAACATGTGACTGCTACCCATGTTTGGGGTACCATTAAGAAATAATGGATCTGCAAGCGTGCAATGTGTTTTATCATGTTTTTCACACGTCTGCACCACAGTGGGCAGAAATGCTAGTTTCTGCCTGCATTTCTGTTATGCCTAGGTGTGAACGGGGCCATAATGTTAAGACCACAATAAAATGTTACATTATAGTTACATGTTAATATCTTGCATAATATTCTCAATGTCCTGCCGTGTCTTCTCATCTTCTTCTATTCTCTTATATAGAAACTCCTGCATTTCAGCCAGGATCTGTGCATTTCGCTTCACCTAAACCAAAAGAAAACACAAATACATTATTAGAACTGACACATTTATCACAGAGATACATAAACAAATGAAATTTTAAAAATCCACCCCTATTCTCTCCCACAACTTTATTATGTTTTTAAAGAAAGCAATAGGGTGTATTACTTACCTTATTCCTGCCTCCAGCAGGGTCCCTCAATCCATGCAACCAGTTCCCCACAGTGTCCTCTGTAAGCAGCTTCGGGATGCAGTTGCATTAAAAACAGAAATTTTAGTTGCACAATTGCACAGCTGCCACTAAAGGATCAGTTCACCTTTCGACCAAAAATAGTAAATGCACATTTTTTTGCAGGTAAAAAAAATATGCATTTATTATTTTTGGTTGCAGGAGCCTGTAAATCATTGCACTAGCGATCAGTAGATCTCTGGTGCTATGCAGGTCTCCTGCAGACCTGTCAACATATCTGCTTGCCCGTACGGGATGTATGGGCAAGCTGATATACTGACAGGAAGAATCAATGAACTACCATGGTGCTCCACAGTGCCGTGTTAGTTCACTGAGAACTACAAGATGACACTTGCTAAGGCTGTCGGAACATGTAGTTCATTCATTCACAGAATTCTGCATGGCTGCACTCTATTTAAAAAGTGACAGCTAGTACAGGGATCTTTGATCTTTGACAGCTAGTACAGGGAGGGGGGGCGGGGGAATCGGGCGGTGATTGCAGCATTGGGAACATGTTACATGTTCCACCGTAAAAACAGGTGGAACATGTAACATGTTCCCAAAGGTGTACTTATCCTTTAATTACTCATTGCTATATATCCTTCAACATGAAGACTCCCATAGATCAGAGTTAGGGCTGCACTTTACAGAGGGGCCTTGACGAGACAGTGCGGCTTCTCTGTATATTTGCAAATGTTGTACAATTAAATCCTCTGTTTTTAACGCAAATTATTACAGTGTATTTTTTTTTTTTTTTGCAGGCTAGCTGGTACGCTAAATACATTTTGTTTTGTTTACAGGTTGTCTCATTCAGCTTTAAGACTGGCTTGGTTTGCAAAACAAAACATGTAAATCATTCAGCTTGTGACCACCATCCCTATTGGCCACTGAGCATCTCACTGTCCATACCTTTACCAGGAAGAGGAGACCTTCCTAGATGCAGGAAAGGTGCCTGCAGTCTGTACAAGGCTATCAGGCAGCATCTTTAACAGCGCTGGAGAAGCTCCAGGTCAGGCATTTTGAATGGAGAACCCAGTACTACAGGGCTGGAAGGCAGGAGCTGGCTGTATTGTCACAGCCATCCACAGGTAGTACCCATTCCACCACCTGTCTGTAAGGGGGCTTCTGATTGGCCCATTGTTGGCACCAAATTATTAAAGCCCTGTAGCTGAGGTCAGAAATATTAGATTTTTGAGATATAGGGAAAGACAGAAAACTTCTAAGGGCTTATTCAATCACACCACAGTGCAGAGATATCAATTTTTCTGCACGTGTTTTGCAAAGGCACAATGAAATCAATTGTTCTCGATGTGCCCTGTACATGCCACAACACTAGTATCAGGTGCAGATTTTTTTCTCAGCAGGAATCTGCAACGTGTATAAAACTCATTAGGGCACGCATGAAAACTGATGTAAACTGACATCTCTGCAAGTGAAATCTGCGTGTCAGTTTCCATCATTTTATTTTCACGTATGGTGTGAATAAGCCCTAAAAGAACATTTGCTACATGAAATTAAATGAAAAGCAGTATGTAAAAAAAGCTAACTGATCTGCATAAGTGATTAGTGAGTTTCTGGGACCAAGCAGAGGGTCTGGAGGTATGGAGTCCATCTCAGCAGGGAGTACAGGATTTTCTGAATTTTGTACCAGGTACTGAGATATGGCAGCTGAGATCTCTGGCAGCATTAAAAGTTCCAGACAACAAAGAAAAGGGTCAGAATGTTCAGAGTTTAGTCCTGTAATGGAGAGAGGAGCTGATAGCTGAAGGTCTCACTAGGAGGCTAGAAAATGCATGGAACCGCTGAGGTCAATACTATCGTATGGGTTGTGCTTTGCTCTCTGCACTGCTGGAACTTTTAGTTCCGCATTCCGCTGCCCTGTGCCTTTAGACTTAGTCCTTGATGTGCCATATTGCCACCCTGTTATATTTCTGCATCTCCCTCATGGTGTTGGAATTATTGGCCTGTGGCCTTCCCCTTATCTGACTCCCTGTTTTTCAGCCCCTAAAAAAAAATAACCCCTTGGTCAGGGGCCCTAAAATCCCTCTTGATCCCTGCATGTGTTCTGTTCCACCCACTCACAAGCCCCCACCTCACTTCTTCTTGGATAGGACAACAACCTACTGCTATAGCCCAAAATGTCTGCCATGTTGTGCCCAACTCCTTGCCATAGGCCTTCCCATGACATCCCTGGCCATTAGCCTTTATATTCACAAGAAACGAAGGTTCACACAAAGTTATATTTCTGCACTTTACTGATATTCTAAAATATGGTAGTGACACATCACAGACATACCATCCAGTGTCACTTGGCATAAGTTGCCAATATCATATCATATCAATATCATATCACAGCAGTCAAATGTGCAATCACCGTAAAGCCATCTTCACTTAATATTGCTCTCCTCTCCTTGGGAACACCACAGTCGTGACTTGGGAGTCACAACTGAGCACCCAGCTCCCTAATGTCACTTTCCCACTCCCCAGAGTCATTAGTACTTACTCTGAGGGCTCTGACTGTCCCTTTAGGCTTTGTGTATCCACCTCATGGCTCCCTTCATGTCATTCCAGGGACAGTACTGCTGCAGCTGCACTTCCATAATCTGTACACTTTCCCCAGGTATCATTAAAAGTCCCAGGGGTATTAGCACTCATGACAAAGAACACTTCTCCCAGTCCAGTCAGACCATGTTACCGGTCCAGTTAGACCATGTTAAGTGAAACAGGATGACTATAGCCAGCTCATATGGGCTTTGGACTATCTCACCCAGGGGCTTCTGCCCTATGCACGGCCCTTGTTGTACTGACTACATTTGCATAGGTGTGGGGTGTTTGTCTCCTATGCCCCTAGTGCCAAAGGCTCCGCTCATCCTGGCTTTTAAAAGGGCAATGACTACACCAAGGGACTTCTCTAAAAGGTCACTTGTGTATAACTTTTCCCTTCCCATACTATTATGAGAACAGAATCATCTAGTGGCCAGTCAGCTAACTGCACCAGCTTACGTTGGTTACAACTGACTACCCATCTAGCATGCACTGTGAAACAATATACAGTAAAATAGTGAAGTGGTGACTTAGGCTGAAGTCGGGGATGAATAGTGAATTTGAGCGAAAGACGGTACAACTGGTCAGTAAATTTGAGTCTGTATTTGAACATTTCCAATTACTATTTACATCTGTTGAATTGTGGCCTATGGATCCAATTGCAACCGTCCTTGCAGTCTTTGAGCAAAGGAACATGCAGCTGTGCAGTGAATGTTATCTAAAGACAGTGCTGAAAAGTAATTTTGAGCTAAAGAAGATGAATGTGAGTGCATAAAGGTTTGCATCACAACAAATCCAATTACTATTTATAGATGATAATGAAGTTTATTTACTGAAGCTGGAGTGTGCAAAATCAGGCTCACTTCTGCATTGAAACCAATCAGCTTCTAACCTCAGCTTGTTCAATTAAGCTTTGGCAATAAAACCTGGAAGCTGATTGATTTCTATGCAGCAATGAGCTTGATTTTGCACTCTCCAACTTTAGTAAATAAACCCCAATGTGCGGCCCATGAATGAAGGTGCGACCACTTTTGCGGTCTATGATATTTGTAAAATATAAAAGATGGTGTTTCATCAAGTAAATAGATACTAAACATGTCTAAATTTAAAACTGTGCAGCCTGTGAAATGGCGACAAACTATGGTACCTTAAATTGTCCATAGGCCACACTTTAAATGTCTTTACAGGTTATCAGTTTAGAGTTAATTTTAGCTATGGTAATAGAACTATTGCCCTCACTCTAACGTTCATGGCGATACCTCACATGTGTGGTGCAATCATCAGTTACATATGTGTGCGTTTGCATTTGTGTGCGAGCACAAGGGGAACAGGGGTGCTTTTAATTTTTTTTTTCAATCATTTTTACTAATTTAAATATTTTTTTTACACTTTTTCTTTATATATTTCTCATTTACCTTTATTGCTATCACAAGGGGTGAACAATCCCCTTGTAATAGCTTTGGGTAATGACAGGTATTCATTATGGAGACATAAGAGGTCTAGTAGAACCTCAATATCCCCCTGCCCTTCAAAACGTCTGATCATACATAGATCATGTTTGATCAGATGCTTCCCTGGCTGGGAATCTGAAAGTTACAAAAATCCTCATCACTTCTGGCTTAATTTATCACAGAGGAGATTGGAGAATAGATGTCCCTCAGTCTCCTCTGTGCACACTTGACCTGACCATTTACAGAGGTCCTAGGCTCCCCAGTGGAACGGGAGAGCCTGGGAACGGCAGTGAGAGGAGGGCCCTGCTGAGCACTGTGAAAAGGGAGGGGGTGGCTGTAAAGCTGCTTGGATCACTTTTACTGGAAGGCCCATCGCTTGAACAAAAAAAATGGTGCCAGAATCATGGCTGCAGCAGCTTGCTTCCGAGGCCGTAAATGTATGGCCTCTGGGCAGAAAGCGGTTCAGCAACTACAGGCTGGAAAATAATTATAAGAAGTGGTATGATGTAGCTGTCCTTTTTTTTAAAGGATCAGCACTTGAGGGGGGATTTATTTTCCTCTTGTCTGTATTACGATTACAAATGCATGTGGATTGGTATCTTAATAGCAACAAGCCCAACCTTGCTGATATCACCAGCACACTAAAGTATCTTTGCCACATGCTGATGAGAGGATTTTTGTCTCATGAGGTGTGATAGGATAGAACTGACTCTTGTTGTAACCCCTCACTAGTGAGTTGTTTTGTGTGCAAGGTTTGAAATGAGGTACAAGTTGGTTATTATAAATCATGACTAATTGTTGATCGATGGGGCACTATTCTAGATTTTCTATATAGGACAAGGGAAGTTCTGTAGTTAAAAATCGTCCTCACCATTGTGCTGCATTTTGTTATAAACAAAAATTGTGATACTTATGCTGATCAGTCTGAATGTAATTAAAAAAAAATAAACTCTCCCAGACCACAGACAGATCTTCAAACCACTGTATATGGCATCTCTTTGCTTGCTGTGTTAGGATCCTGTGCTTAGTTCCAATCTGAAATACTATTTTCAGGAAGTTTATTTGCTGTTTTTGTGTTTAAAACAATTCATTCTGGTTTCCTCAATTATTCAGAAAAGTAATGCAAGATTAACTGCCTTCTGACCAAACTGTGTGCGTCTGTATACTGTAAATGTGTTGAGGACATTAGATTGTAAGCCATCCAGTGCCCAGCAGAATGGTTCCATTTACTCTGCAGTATTTTATAACATGGAAGTGACATGTAAATACATAAAATAAATGTTTGTTTACGTTACTGACCTTCTGTTCATATTCCATTTTAGACCTTCTTGATAGACAGAAACGTTCCCAAACTGGAAGTTCGAGCCCTTCTGACATGTGTTCTGGTGCATCTAACTCATCCATGGCTTTCATGAGCTGAGCAATTGAATCACTGTACGTTTTTCCCGATGCTGGACGATCACCAAATGGGGCCTCATTTTCTGTCTGAGTCCTAAGACGCTGAACTCTGAAATACATAACCATTTTTTAGAGGAATTCTGCAGTTAACAACTCAGTACACTTAGGAAGTGGTTTGTCAATAATATGTGGTTTTGCATAATGATACACTTTTCATACACTTTTCATAAAACCTAGAGTGGGTTTCACACGTTATGCTGTTTTGTGGAATTTTTCACTTTAGCATTGCTATGGATTTTAGAACAGTTAATTAATTCTAAAATAAGTGTGGTAACTCACACGTATATCAACCAATCAGCAATCACCTTTCAAAAACGTTGTTCTGGCGATGGTAAGCTCATGACAGCTGAAATGTTTGAAATGAGGTACAAGTTGGTTATTATAAATCATCACTAATTGTTGATCAATGGGGCACTATTCTTCCCACTGACACCAATGATGGGGCTCTATTCCTCCCACTGACACCAACGATGGGGCTCTATTTCTTTCACTGACACCAATGATGGGGCTCTATTCCTCCTACTGACACCAATGATGGGGCTCTATTTCTTTAACTGACACCAATGAAGGGGTACTATTCCTCCCACTGACACCAATGATAGGGCTCTTTTCCTCTCATTGACACCAATGTTAAGGCACTATTTCTCTCACTGACACCAATAATTAGGCATTATTCATCCCACTGACACCAATGATGGGACACTATTCATCCCACTGACACCAATGATTAGTCATTATTCCTTCCACTGACACCAATGATTAGTCATTATTCCTCCCACTGACACCAATAATGGTGCACTATTCCTCCCATTGACACCAACGATGAGGCACTATTCCTTCCACTGACACCAATTAATGGTCATTATTCCTCCCACTGACACCAGTGATGGGGTGCTATTCCTCCCACTGACACCAATGATAGGGATCTATTCCTGCCACTGACACCAATGATGGGGACACTATTCCTTCCACTGGCACCAATGATTGGTCATAATTCCTTCCACTGACACCAATGATGGGGCACTATTCCTACCATTGACACCAATGACGGGGCACTATTCCTTCCACTGACACCAATGATAGGGCACTATTCCTTCCACTGACACCAATGATAGGGAACTATTCCTTCCACTGACACAAACCATTTCCTACTACCACTGGCCACAGTCCGGCCCCTCTGAAGTTTGAAGGACAATAAACTGGCCCTATGTGTAGAAAGTCTGGAGCCCCCTGCCCTAGAGGACTACCTTTTGTGCTCTAGTAATATATACAGGTTTCTCAGTCATACTATACAGTAAGTATTCCTAAAATGTACCTTGGTCTTCGTTTGTAGAGTCTGTAAAGCTGGTCCACATGATGGGCTGGTACATCCGAAAATTCTTTCTTAAATCCTCGATCCAACAACTAAAACCAATGCAGGTTGACATTATATTGACTAGGAAAGAACAGTTATCATTCCCATTAAGACAGACATATAGCCTTTACCTTATCTTCTGCCACAAGGTCATCATAGGACTCTCTGAAAGATTCCACCTGTACTTTAAAGGTCTTAACTAGTTCAGCTGTTTGATTCTAGAACAAAAATACATTAGAAATAAAATGTAATTTATCTGGATGGGGTGAAAATGACAGATCACATATATTGTAGATTGAAAGTAGTTTTTTATAATTACAAAGGGTGTACAGATAATGAACTGTTAGCTTCTTCATACAGGATTCCACCTTGTCATCAAAGCTGTATCTACAGATGTGCAGCTAAAATCTGAACATCTTTGATGCTCAGGAAACTTGCATATTACTGATGCCTACATTCATATCCCATAGGAGAGCAGTACATTTTCTATATTTCCAATAACACAGTAAGATTGGTCTCCCTAAAAAGGTCAGTCAGAATGCATAACCTTTGCTGATTGCAGAGCTATAGGCCAGACGCCACAGAGGGTGTGGTAGAACTCTTTATAGAGATATCACTGCTTCCCCATGGACAGTAAGGATAATACTCTGTCGCACCGGCAGGAGACAGGATTTCCTACTCAGGCTGTGGCTGCTTTCTAAAGAAAACAAACAGTAAGACTTTTGTTTGGATGAACCTGCAATGTACAGTATTTCACTGATTTGAAACAAAGCTTTTATTGTGTTTTTTAACAAGCATATAAAGTTAAAAAAGGATGGCCATGCTAAAGCACACCAGTTGTTTACAATCTGTATCCAACCCTGTGAATACTAAAGATTAATAGGATCAGCTTTTGAATCAAAGTCTGGGTCTAAGGCAGAGCATATTAAATCTACATATGCATGAATATTTTCAAAATCACATACACAGCACAGCAAATGAAGAAGAAATCCAATGCACTCAGAAAGCTGATAGTAGATTTACAGGATTTGTTTTGTATTTTCTTAACCACTTGCCTACCAGGCACTTATACCCCCTTCCTTACCAGGCCAATTTTTTCAGCTTTCAGCGCTGCCGCACTTTGATTGACAATTGCGCGGTCATGCAACATTGTACCCATATGAAATTTTGATCATTTTTTTCTCACAAATAGAGCTTTCTTTTGGTGGTATTTAATCGCCACTGGGCGCTTTACTTTTTGCGCTATAAATTAAAAAAAGTGCAAAAAATTTGAAAAAAAAAAAAGTTTATTTGTTTCTTTATAAAATTTTTCAAACAGGTATTTTTTCTCCTTCACTGATTTGCGTTGATGAGGCGGCACTGATGGGCACTGATAGGCGGCACTGATGGGCACTGATAGCAGCACTAAAGGGCACTGATAGGCAGTACTAATGAGGTGGCACGGATAGGCGGCACTGATAGACAGCACTAATTAGGGGTCACGGATAGGCGGCACTGATATGCAGCACTGATAGGCGGCACTGATAGGTGACACTGATGATGGGTACTGATAGACGGCACTGACTGGCATCACTTCTGGGCACTGACTGGCGGCACTGACTGGCACAACCCCTGGGCACTGACTGGTGGCACTGACTGGCAGCACTGCTGGGCTGCACTGGTGGGTGGCACTGGTGGGCAGCACTAGTGGGTGGGCACAGGTGGGTGGCACTGGTGGGCACAGGTGGGTGGCACTGGTGGGCACAGGTGGGTGGGCACAGGTGGGTGGCACTGCTGGGCACATGTAGGTGGCACTTCTGGGCACAGGTAGGTGGCACTGCAGAGTGGCACAGGTGGGTGCACTGCTGGGCACAGGTGTGGGGGCACTGCTGGGAACGGGTGGGGGGGGCTAGTGGGCGCACTGCTGGGCGGAACTTGCGGGTGTCACTGCTGGGCACCGATCATCAGGGCACTGATCATCAGTGCCCTGATGATCGGTGCCGATCCCCGCTCTGACAACTGCCGGTTCTCGGCAGTACTTTCCTCACGATCTGACAGCGTGAGGAAAGTGCAGCCGAGAACCGGCACTTGCATTTCCCTGTGATCAGCGTGTCATTGGACGCCGCTGATCACGTGGTAAAAGGCCGGTGGGATCGGCCTTTCACCACATCACGTGATCAGCTGTGTCCGTAGGACACAGCGATCACGGAGATCGCCGGGGTGCGCGCCCCCTGAGGCGCGCAGGAGAGCGCGTTCTGGGAGGACGTCATATGACGTCCACTCAGAACTGGCCGGCCGCGGTGAAGCCGTCATTCGGCTATGCGCGGTCGGCAAGAGGTTAAACTTGTAGCATATACTGTAAAATGTGGATATGGCAATTGGAGAAGCAATATTTTAATTAGAAAGGTCATATTTAATAGCATTGAATTAGAAACTTGTTACTGTTGCAATATTACTTTTGTCACATCATCTCCTCCCTGAAACATACTGTGATGAACGCCAAGAGGCACCATAAACAGGGTGTGTACAATTATGATATTTTTAGTGGTTGTTTAAGGTGTTGTACCCATTTTTCTCTGTAAATATTTGAAAGCACAGTCTAGATCAGTGTTTCTCAAACTTTTTTCAGTGAAAGCACCCTTTAAAATTATGGACAGTTAAACTTTACTGCAACACCTATACTGTGATGTTGTGTAGCTTTTCACTGTTATATTTTTGTTTTTGTTTTTTTGTTGTTGTAACTATATTTGTAAAACCAAATAAAAATTTATTATGGAAAAAAAAATATGGATAGTCCCGAGGCACCCTTTAAAATTATGGACAGTCTTGAGGCAACTCATTCTAAAGTGCGGTGCCTCAAGACTCCCTAATTTTAAAAGGTCAATCCATTCTAAAATGTGAAAAACTATTCTAAAAGTTTTATATAACGCAGCAACATCCACACATCTAGGACACCCAACATTAGAGGTGGTTTATTCTTCCAAAGCAAATACACTTTTGTTCACTTGTACTGAGTAGTATTCGAGTGTTTCTCCTTCTCCCTCAGTTTTTCTCCATCACTGAGCTAATCTGACCCCAGCATTGATAGAGAGGGGCAAAAGAGGGGCAACCTAGGATTCTGTGCAGGCAGCTGAAATCCTCCTTATCAACTGATGATGTTATTGGTTGATGGTGGCTAGAAGGTCGTAAAGGTGCACAATGAAAACCAGTGACTTTGAGTAACTAAAAGGCGGGCTTGTTTTACCCACTGGCTGTATACAAGTTTTGGGCAATTTTTAGACATTTTGCTAAGGCACCCCTGAAGAAACCTTGAGGCACCCCAGGGTGCCTGGGCACCCTAGTTGAGAAAGGCTGGTCTAGATGCACCTTGTCTCCTGTGCCCTGTCATAGGATGCCAAACACATAAACTATTACAAAGGAATACTGTAATCCAAAGCCCTTATTTGTGCCTTGACCTCTTTCTCTACATTAAATTCACTATTAGGCGGACAGATGACCCAAATCTTAAGCACCTATTTATATCCAAAAGGTGTAGCTCTAGAGTAAGCTATCATATTGGAAACACATTTTCAATAGCAGTTTTTGGTCCTAAAAACATACCTTATTTATCAGAGGAAGGGTACACTTCCCTCTCCTCTACCAATAAAGATGGATGTCCTAACCACTGGAAACCAGTCTCACAAGACAATGGCATGCTTAAGGGCAGTGCTGGGCTTACTTATTAGAAAGCCCAGGTGGGAGATGCCATAAAGAGTTTCTATGATTCTCTTTGGAATTCCATCATGCCTCCATGCAGCAAAGTTGGTGCTGGTGAAAGTATAATTTACCATTTGGAATTGGGAACATAAATTTGGGTCAAGACCGCATGCAGAGGAACTCTGAGACCTCCATCCTCACTGCAGCTGTTTCCTCACCCACCACTGCAGCTGCCACACAAACAGCCACACAAACAGCACAGGTACTCAGCCTGCCTCCGTATGATAACTTAAAGCAGAACTTCACTGGACTCTGGTGTGTGTTTTTAAAAAGGCAGCAGATACAGTATTTGTAGCTGCTAACATTTAAAATTTTTGTTTACAGGGTGCCATATCTGTTCATAAAGGTACTGAAATGGACCGCAAGGATTTTTGAATTTGGTGCAGGCCACTTTAGAAGGCAATACCACCACAAAAGTATTATTAGGGCTTTATTGAATACCCCCTATAGTTTCCCCTAAAGTAGAAGGAAACTATTTCTCACCTTTTGTTTTCGTTTTCTGTCCAGGATTTGGTTTAATTGTACCATTCTGGTATTTATCTCTTCTTCAATCAAAATGGAGAATAGAAGATTGCTGATTTTCAGTTCTTCCTGTTTAGTACAAAGATTAGTTCAATAAACAAAGCATGGAATAACAGGGAGGTTAAAAAAAATATCAAAGTTTCACTACAGTATTTAAAGGGCTAGGCTCCCAAAATGAATATTTCATGTGCAGAGATGTCATTGCTGAAGACTCAGAGTTATAGAACACAGGGTAGCATCCAGTGCACCATAGATTGTAATTATTTTTTTATCTTTCAGTGGAGAAGTAATGTTATGCATCTATGAATCTCACAGGACAACTATTGTGTTATTTTCACTTGGGAATAACTGGACGTACCCCGTATCTTTTATTTCTGCATGAAAGTTGTATGTTTAGACTGACTACCGTATATACTCGAGTATAAGCCGACCCGAATATAAGCCGAGGTACCTAATTTTACCACAAAAAACTGGGAAAAACTATTGACTCGAGTATAAGCCGAGGGGGGAGGAATAGTGCCCCATCATTGGTGTCAGTGGGGGGAGGAATAGTGCCCCATCGTTGGTGTCAGTGGGGGGAGGAATAGTGCCCCATCGTTGGTGTCAGTGGGGGGAGGAATAGTGCCCCATCATTGGTGTCAGTGTGGGAGGAATAGTGCCCCATCGTTGGTGTCAGTGGGGGGAGGAATAGTGCCCCATCGTTGGTGTCAGTGGGGGGAGGAATAGTGCCCCATCATTGGTGTCAGTGTGGGAGGAATAGTGCCCAATCGTTGGTGTCAGTGGGGGGGGAATAGTGCCCCATCGTTGGTGTCAGTGGGGGGAGGAATAGTGCCCCATCATTGGTGTCAGTGTGGGAGGAATAGTGCCCCATCGTTGGTGTCAGTGGGGGGAGGAATAGTGCCCCATCGTTGGTGTCAGTGGGGGGAGGAATAGTGCCCCATCATTGGTGTCAGTGTGGGAGGAAATAGTGCCCCATCGTTGGTGTCAGTGGGGGGAGGAATAGTGCCCCATCGTTGGTGTCAGTGGGGGGAGGAATAGTGCCCCATCATTGGTGTCAGTGTGGGAGAAATAGTGCCCCATCGTTGGTGTCAGTGGGGGGGAGGAATAGTGCCCCATCGTTGGTGTCAGTGGGGGGAGGAATAGTGCCCCATCATTGGTGTCAGTGTGGGAGGAATAGTGCCCCATCGTTGGTGTTAGTGGGGGGGAGGAATACTGCCCCATCGTTGGTGTCAGTGGGGGGAGGAATAGTGCCCCATCGTTAGTGTCAGTGAGGGGAGGAATAGTGCCCCATCGTTGGTGACCCCTGCTCCAGCCTGGGCTCGCTTGCTCCCTCCCTCTCCCATGGTACACACTTACCGGTCAGATGTCTTCCTTCTTCGACCGCTCTCCTCCTCTTCACTCGCTCGATCTTCGCGGTGCCGCTCGGCTCCTCCTCTCCAAGCTCCACCTCCTCGCCGGTGATTGGGCGCCTGTGTGCCTCTCCTGAGCTACAGTTCCGGCGGCCAATCACCGGCGAGGATTGATCCCGGGGGTGTGTCCAGATGACAGGGACAGCATGTCATCTGCAGATGTTGACTCGAGTATAAGCCGAGGGGGCCGTTTTTCAGCATAAAAAATGTGCTGAAAAACTCGGCTTATACTCGAGTATATACGGTAATTTGATCAATTTTTTTCTCAAATTGCACTTACCCTTTAAGATATACAGTATCTCACAGAAGTGAGTACACCCGTCACATTTTTGTAAATATTTTATTATATCTTTTTATGTGACAACACTGAAGAAATGACACTTTGCTACAATGTAAAGTAGTGAGTGTACAGCTTGTATAACAGTGTAAATTTTCTGTCCCCTCAAAATAACTCAACACACATGTCTAAACTGCTGGCAATAAAAGTGAGTACACCCCTAAGTGAAAATGTCCAAATTGGGCCCAATTAGCCACTTTCCCTCCCGGGTGTCATGTGACTCATTAGTGTTACAAGGTCTCAGGTGTGAATGGGGAGCAGGTGTGTTGAATTTGGTGTTATCACTCTCACTCTCATACTGGTCACTGGAAGTTCAACATGGCACCTCATGGCAAAGAACTCTCTGAGGATCTGAAAAAAAGAATTGTAGCTCTAAATAAAGAAGGCCTAGACTATAAGAAGATTGTCAAGACCCTAAAAACTCAGCTGCAGCATGGTTGCCAAGACCATACAGTGGTTTAAGAGGACAGGTTCCACTCAGAACAGGCCTCACCATGGTGGACGATGTTGAGTGTATGTGCTCAGTGTCATATCCAGAGGTTGTCTTTGGGAAATAGACGTATGAGTGCTGCCAGCATTGTTGCAGAGATTGAAGGGGTGGGGGGGTCAGCCTGTCAGTGCTCAGGCCATACGCCGCACACTGCATCAAATTGGTCTGCATGGCTGTCGTCCCAGAAGGCAGCCTATTCTAAAGATGATGCACAAGAAAGCCCGCAAACAGTTTGCTGAAGACAAGCAGACTAAGGACATGGATTACCAGAGCCTGGTCTCTGATGAGACCAAGCTAAAACTTATTTGGTTCAGATGGTGTCAATCGTGTGTGGCAGCAACCAGGTGAGGAGTACAAAGACAAGTGTGTCTTGCCTACAGTCAAGTATGGTGGTGGGAGTGTCATGGTCTGGGGCTGCATGAGTGCTGCCGGCACTGGGGAGCTACAGTTCACTGAAGGAACCATGAATGCCAACATGTACTGTGACATACTGAAGCAGAGCATGATCCCCTCTCTTCAGAGACTAGGCCACAGGGCAGTATTCCAACATGATAACGACCTCAAACACACCTCCAAGATGACCACTGCCTTGCTAAAGAAGCTGAAGGTAAAGGTGATGGACTGGCCAAGCAAGTTTCCACACCTAAACCCAATTGAGCATCTGTAGGCATCCTCAAATGGAAGGTGGAGGAGCGCAAGGTCTCTAACATCCACCAGCTCCATGATGTCGTCTTGGTTGTGAGTGGAAGTGGACTCCAGTGGCAACCTGTGAAGCTCTGGTGAACTCCATGCCCAAGAGGGTTAAGTGAGTGGAGGAAAATAGTGGTGGCCATACAAAATATTGACAATTTGGGCCCAATTTGGACATTTTCACTTAGGGGTGTACTCACTTTTGTTGCCATCGGTTTAGATATTAATGGCTGTGTGTTGAGTTATTTTGAGGGGACAGTAAATTTACACTGTTATACAAGCTGTACACTCACTACTTTACATTGTAGCAAAGTGTCATTTCTTCAGTGTTGTCACATGAAAAGATATAATAAAGTATTTACAAAAAATTACAAAAATGTGAGGGGTGTTCTTACTTCTGTGAGCTACTGTATGTTAATATATTTTACATTTATAGTCTGCAGGTGCAGCACAGGTTCCTTGTTTTACAGCTCACTTATCAGAAGCGAAAAGGAAAAATGTCTCCCCTTTATCTATTGTAGTATGTTATGAGATAAATTATTGACTCTATAGGAAGTTTTACGTAGCACCTATCGGAGTGGTTTTACTAAAGGTATCTAGGCTGTTCACGTTGCAAGAAAATGTTGCCTTAACTTAGTAAATGAGGTGAAGCTGTGCTTTTTTCCAATATCCAATCATGTGCAAGCAAAAATACCTTTTTTTTATTTTCCTTGCATATGATTGAGTGTTGAAAAAAGAATTTACACCACATTCAATAAGCTTGGAAAGTGAAAAGCCTGCTAATTTTTAGTAATTAAATCCTACGTTTTCCTGTCATTTGCATAGCTGCTCACACTAGCGTGTCTAAAATCATGAAGCTGCAAAGGAAAAGACGCAACGCATGCTTTTTTTAATTCATATTTTGCAGAAACAATGGTCTGTCCTAGCCCTGTGTGTTGTTCTGGGTGACAATAGCCTGTTTATGTATTTCAGGTACTTTGAAGGTATCATGTGTGATTTTCAGAAGGGTTTTTGTACTGCCTTGTACTATATCATATATGTGCTGCCCCATGTTTAATTTCCTTGACTTTTTTGGACATCCTCCTTTTCCCTGTTGCTAGGCATTGGTGGGTATTGCTCTGCTTGGGTGCAGGGTTCAAATGGATGAAGAAGTTGTCCCCCAATGCCCACCTCAGGCAGAATGCTCTGTGTATTCTTGAGTCCAGGATGCTATTAGACCGATTGATATTCTGTTTAATGTCTCTGTTTTCCTGGTGGTCATTAAAGGTATAAACAGAATTGTTATAATTATGGTTTTATAAGAGAAACCAGTAGACTAATGGCCTTTTATATACTTTGCAGATTTTTATTATCCTAGTTTAGCTGCTAAGAAAACAAAAATGAAGTCTTAACACTGGAATTGCATATCTTCTCAGCAGCATATGTTAGACAGTATGTGTAATCCTGAGTTTCTCAACCATGGGTCCATGGAACCCTAGGCTTCCTCCAAAGGTTGCTAGGGGCTCCTTGAGCAATGAGCGATTTATGCCTCTCAGATATGTTCCCACTGACACCATTGATCTTTTTAGCTTTCTGTAAGGGGGTAATTCTTCACAGTGACCACCAATGCAAGCAGCATTCTTCCCATTTACCATCACACTAATGTATCAGGAGTTATAGATGTAGTAATTTTTAGAAGTGGTTCCCCAAGACCGGAAAGTTATTTCAACGGTTCCTCAGGTCTTAACAATTTGAGAAAGGCTAATCTAAACGTTGTCTCTTGTGTGCACAGCCTCAAGATGTCATCATTTCTCTGCAAATGCTTCAGACATAATAGTTTACCTTAATGTGTGTTAATAATTCATTGAAGTTCTAGACCTTGCAGCTTGTATACAAACTCTGGCAGAAACATTGTATGAGGCTTTTCATTGTAGCCTGCGGTTCCTCACAGGGAAATGTCAACAAGGAACATAATCTAGTAGGATGAAACATTTTGTGTTGTGTCCTGAAGTGTATTAAATGGGGTATTTATCAGACTTTCAAGAACAACCTATAAATCCCAGACTGCACATTGTTTTGTTAAGCCTAACATCCTGTTAAGTGTATCACATTCAAAATAGCAACTTACTGTACCTTCACAATATTACACTTTTTCAAATCCTTTATGTAGAAAGAGGAGCATGGAAGTCAATTACGGACCAAACCTCCGAATTCTGCATGAGCTAGTTCCCCTCTGCACACTGACCACAGGGCTCTGCCATTCATAGAACGCCTTATATTTTTTTTTAAGTGAAAACAAGATGTTCTCTGATTGGATGAGCTGGAGATCCTCCTCTCCACCTTGTCCAACCACAGAACACCTTGCATTTACTGGAAAAATGGTCTGTATGGACAAGGCTTTCTGTGAATAGCAAGGTGCCGAGCGAGCAAACCCTCCTATTATCAGTGGGCAGTTTGGAAGCATAGAACCCAGAAGATCACTGCTATAACTGTATCTGGACTAGGAATACTATTAAGAGCATCCGCAGTGGTCCCCTGGATAACAAACAGATTTGAATACAATGAACAAAACTGGGCCAATAGACTATGCAAAAAATATAATTCCTAGAAATTCCTCTTTAAGGGCTGATGTAGCCTCTAGTCTGCCAAGCTGAAGTTTTAAAGATTTAGCTGGAGCAAGTATTCCTGGACCTAGAAAGTCAAATGACAGCTGTTGTGAGCCAGCATCTCTAAGGGCTGCAGTGATCATGTCCACCCTGATTACCAAGCACAGGAAACTACTTAAAAGTTTACCTTTTGACTAAAAAAAATGGAATGCACACTCTCCCCCTTTTTTTTGCAGGTAAAAATCAAAAACGATTGCATTTATAACTTTTTTTTTGTTGCTGAAGCCTGTAAAGCATCCTTTGCACTAGTGATCAGCAGATTGCTGGTGCCATACAGGTCTTCTGCTGAGCTGTCAGTATATCTGCTTGCCAGCGATGGAATGTACAGGCAAGCAAATATACTGACAGGAAGAATCAATGAACTACCATGGTGCTCCACAGCACTGTGGTAGTTCTTTGAGAACTACAAACCGAGAGCCACTAAGGCTGTTGACTTGGGACTTGTAGTTCATTCATTCACAGAACTCTGTGAATGAATGATGCGGCCGCGTGGGCAGAGCCCTGTACCGCGGTGCTGTTTTTAAAAACTGACAACTAGTACATGGTATGTTGGATTGGGCAGTGGCTGCAGCATTGTGAACATGTTACATGTTCCACCCTAAAAATGAGTGGAACATGTAATATGTTCCTAAAGATGAACTTATCCTTTAAAGCTGAACACCAGGCAAACAGCTAAATATACAGAAGAAATACATACAATAAATGGGAGCTGTTTTACCTGCCAAAGGATTTGTATTTCTGTCTATCTAGCCATAAAATGTACACACCTCTGCCACAGGGCACAGCCCTGTTTGGCCAGGAAGGATACCTGATTTTTCTCTGCTGCACATAAGTAACACTTACAAGTCTTGTCCATACCCCCAGCCTGCGAGTGTACAGTGAAATCTCTCTGTCACTCTACTCTCTCCCCTAATTAGCATGTCCCTTGTTCACATGAGAGCACTGCAGCAAAATAATTGGAACCTTTTTGCAGCTTACCTATTGCAATATAAACCTTTAGGGCAGACACATCTGTGTCTCTAAATAAACCAGGTCAATTACATGCAGGAAAGGTATTATTTTTAAATATAGTTAGTGCAAGTACCTGAATTTTCTGGAGTTCAGCTTTAAAGTGCTTCTAGCGCATTCCCTACATTAGGGTAATAAACGCTCCAATACTAGTCTCCCTGCCCCTAAACACACCTGACTCCTCCATAGATCCAGTGCTGCCCCCAGCTGCAAAGGTGCTCTCCTCTCTTCCTCTTCTCACAGGAGACACAAGTGGCAGCAGGAACTATAGGCTCCTGCTGATGTCAGTCAAATCCTGGGAGGAAGGAGAGGGGGCATGAGCAAGTTGTGCTGTGTGTGTCTGTGGATGCACACAGCCTGGCTTGGGAGTGTGCCCACATGAGTGCACTTCCACCACATGGCTTGCTGAGGGGGCACTCGGAGGACAGAAGGAGTGGAGAGCATCAGCGGGGGACTCCAGAAGAGGAGGTTAGAGACTGCTGTTTGGAATACCATTGTACAGAGCAAAAAATAACCTTTAGAACCACTTTAACCTTCTTTCCAGTTGTAGATATTTGTACAGCTGGTCTTTTGTCACACAATAATAGAGTAGACATTCTAGACTTCAGCAATGAAGCCTTTGTGTTGAGGGAATAGTGGTTAATTCCATCACATTATACCAAAGATGGAAATGGTAGAAACATACTTGCTGAAATTTGTCTTTAAATCCCAGGGATCAGTTATTTAATTCCTTTTCCATTTTTAATTACACAAAAGCGCTTCACTTTCTTTCCACCGTTTCAGTTATGAATGTACTATTGAGGACAGCTATGCTAATGATGTACACATTTCAAGTTATTTAGTGCTAAGTGATGCTTTCTACAGGAGTCAAAATTTGAGATTTGAACTATTCCCATGCTGCCAAAGACTATAGTAAGGACATCCCTTTCTCAGTCACTGTCGCCTTTGCAAGCTGTAAGTTAGTAACATACTGCTTAACACCACATGTACTAAAGTTCACATTGCCAACATTTAGTGAATAAAAAATATTTTAAAATCCTCTCCTTATCAAATATATTAAATGCTAACAGCAATAAAAATCTACCTGGTAAATGGCCATTTCAGATTTCACCTTCTTTTCAAATAGTCTCATCAAAACATCATCAAAACTCTGGGTAGTCTCCATTATTGAAGCTTGAATTTTTTTAACTTCTGCCTCTAGAATCTAAATATAAAAATATCAATTATGACAAATAAAATGGAACAAACCTGAGACTCATGTTCATATCAAGAACATCTGCCAAACAAGTCTGATGATAGTGCTGCAACAACACTGTTCATCATATGAAGACAGTAGAAAATCCATAAACATTACAAATGGTTGAGGCACAAACACACAGCAAATATCCTATCCAGCAGTGGCAGTAAATTATTGTCTATTCCACAGCCACTTTGATACTTTAAGTGTAGCTCCCTCTAGCTTAGCTAGGTAGGTTTGTTGTTCTTTTTTAGGCAGAGGCTGAGTAAGCCTGGAAGTGATGTAGTGAGGTTACCTCAAGACAGGCTAGGGAGGCTCTAAGCTCAGAGCTTCTGGAGCCCTCCTACCTCTTCAGAAACCAGAAAGCTTTCTGGAGGAGGGCAGGATGCTCAGATTTGCATGCTATAGGGACCTCGACTAATCTCCTGGCAGGAGGCTGGGCATAGTGACTGAGGCAACCCTTAAGAATCACAGAGCATGGGAGTGGCAGGAGAGTGTTGGGTGGAAGATGAAGTGAGAGGCTGGAGTGTGGAGCCTAGGAGAGGGACCTGGGAAGGGGCTTACCTACAGGCAGGTGCTGAAGAAGAGGATCTCCACTGTACCACCACCAATCTAACTGTCAGGAATGGACTCGCCAATAGTGTTGGGACTCACCTGCCTTGTGGTTTGCAGTACCAGGACTGGCCAGCGGGTGCTCTCAGCAACCAGAGGCTCATGTCTGCAGTCAGCCAAAACACCTGAGGCTGATTGCAGGAGGTGCATATAAGGAATGGCCAGACTTGCAAGCAGGGCCTTGGTGTATGTTTTCTCAAGAGCCCTTGTACCTGCATCCTGTCGGCTTCCTGTCTGATCCTGCTTTATCCCTGACTCTGATTGTACTCCGCCTGTCCTGACCTCTACTATTCCTGACCACTCTCCAGTCTGCTCCTTTGGTACCTTGTCTGCCTGATTGTTCCTGACCCGGCCCGTCCGACTACGCTTAGTATTGTTCTTTTGTTATCTGTTGGGGGTTTTGGTTTGGTTTGTTTTCACTGTGTTTATGTTTAGTCTTGCACTGCATTTATGTATTGTTTAGTCTTAAATAAATTATATTGTTTATACTATATCTGAAGCCTGCGTTTCCCTGTGTCAGTCCACACACCTCTGGTCATACCCGGGGCCCTGACACTAACCTTCAAGGGAGGATATCCTGAACAGCAGGGAAGCCCAGCGAAAGGCCTGACAAAAGCCACCAACCCATTAAAGCTATCAGGAAGGACAGAATAAGTACTCTTACATCTCCTGGGTTTCTTAAGAAGAGAGGGCAGTCAGGTGGAAAACCAAACTTGCTTATCATTCAGGGCTGCTGTGCTAAATTAGCAGTTTCTGGGCCCCCTTGCCCAGGGAATACCCTCAGTACAGCTGGGTGAAGAGAAGGATGCATCTGGTGTCTGAGGAGGTACACCAGAGTGCTGGAATGCTCTCAGAGGAGAGACTATTTTGTCCATATCTGTACATAGTTGCTTAGGAGTTTGTCCTCAAATTTGCAGTTCCCTTGGGCATCCCATACACCCCTCAACCCTATCCAAGTTATCAACTCCTTATTAAAATCACAAAACCAAGCGCAAGAACTGTTTACTGACTCTGAATGCAACATGTGAAAGAGAATGCTTGTTGCCTGACTGTGCAGAGCTGTAGGGGGACCCAAAACTCAGCGACTCCTAAGGGGGTAGTGCTACAGAAGTGAAATGTAATAAAATTGCTAGCACTGATTTGAAGGAATTATTTGTAAAGGGTTTGTCTAGTTTAACAACCAGCTAACAACCAGCAAGATGCCTCCTCCATTTTCTAACCAGCACTTGAAAATTAAAAGCCACAGCTGGCATGCATGCAATATGACAAATGAACTTTTCTTTTTAGCAAAAAGCAGATGGCATTTAGATGCCCAGTTCATCAATCTTACCTTCCTGTACTTGTCCTTCTCCTCATTCAGCTCCTTACATTTTTTATCATACTCTTTGAACTGCTTTTTCTCATCTTCAGTCCATTCGGCCTCAGTCTTAGACAGAAAACCCTGGACTTGGCACTTCCTGCAGGGCAGAGATAAACAATGCATGTTATTTTCATTTATATACAATATTTTTAACCTCTGCTAAGTTGTATGAATGTAAAATTGTCAGTTAATGGGAAGGTCCAAAAATGGGTAATTCAACTATTGGCAGATGCTAAAAAGTTAAACTACCTTATATTGTTTCAGGGTGTGTATTAGTAAGATCTCTGCACTTATATTCCTGGGTTTGCACACCTGTTGTGGCCATAATGAGGGGACCTTACCTTCCATATGGGATAACTGAGTTGTATTACAGAGATGCTGGAAACACAAGTGGGTAGGATGGCTTGAAGGTCCAAGGGGCACAGAACATATTCAGCAATCATCGCAGAGGGATCTTGTTGAGACCTTAGCATAGCTGCGCATTAGGCTGACTTTGAACTGTATTGTTGCTGTATTGTCTCCCGTTATATTGTAAAGCACTGAGCAAACTGTTTGCGCTATATAAATCCTGTATAATAATAATGCCCTTGTCTCCTCCTCCCATACTCGTCTCCAGGACCTCTCCAGAGCTTCCCTCATCCTCTGGAACTCTCTACCTCAATTTATCAGTCTATCGCCTACTCTGCTCACTTTTAGGCAAACTCTGAAAACCTATCTCTTCAGGGAAGCCTATCCTCCCCTCAGCTAATAATGGAATCTTCTACTCCTCCTACCAGTCCATCCCCCGTAGTTATTACCTTTTGTACCACTAGCCCCTCCCTCTTAGACTGTAAGCTCCAAGGAGCAGGGCTCTCCTAACCCTCTTGTATTGAACTGTATTGTTGCTGTATTGTCTCCCGTTATATTGTAAAGCGCTGAGCAAACTGTTGGCGCTATATAATTCCAGTATTATAATAACTTACCGTTTAGTATTTCTTCCTCGTGCAAAACAAGGTCTGCACTTCCTCTTCCCTCCCTTGGTTTACTGCCACTGCATAGTTGCATCAGCCCAGTGCCAAGCTCCATTCTCAGCATATCACAAATTACAAGAATGGACACTATTGCACAGGCAGTATACACAAAAGTGGTGGGAAATTATCGGCCAAACAGTGACTGCATCCAATCGGATGCAGTCACTGTTCAAGTATGCAGGCAACTTCAGGTGCTGAATGTCTCAGCAGGGAAGATTGTGTAGATGGGAGAATCGAGTGATTCTCCACAGACTGAATGGGGAAAATGTAAACATGTATGGCTAGCTTTAAGAAAACATTTGCTACCAGACAGGTAAAGCTTTTTTTCTCAGCAGAAGAGAATTATAAATTCTACCTGCTAATATTTTTTCTTTTTTTAAGTTTATGTATAGGCTAACTCCAAATACTTATTTCAACTCAGATTCTTCTATTTCATGCAGACTCAAGTGGTACTGCAGCAGTCTGCCTCTCCTGCTCCACCACAGCCTATAGTAAAACTGTCAAACTCTAACAGTAAGACTTTCAAATGACTTATTTGTACATTATAGAGACTCTATCATAGAAACTTGACAGCTCATTTTGCTTTGTATGAAACCACCAGTTGGGATGAACTGCAAATTGTGGTGGTGGTGGTGGTGGTGGTGATGGAAAGAGATCTTTACCGGTGTCCCTAAATGATATAGGAATTCCACATCAGTGAGTAACCAGTCAAAGCTAAAATTTAAATTATCAACAGAGCTGGCCTTTAGCAAGTAATTGAAATTTTAAAGCTCATAAAATACCTGAAAATCACTGAAAAAATACTGTGAAAAAACATTAAATGTAACTAATTACAACAGAAACTGAGTCAGCTGCTTGAATTCAATCATATTCGTAAATGGTTTCTGAACATTGCTCTTTTCACTCCCAAATACATAATATTTTTTTCCATTCTGTAGTATGTAAAGGAGGATGAATTAACAATCTAACTTTTAAGTAGATATAAACTAAAACTGCATGATATTTATTTCAATAAAACAGTATATTATAAACAACTGCCACTTATTTCATAAAATACTGTTTTCACCTTTTTAATCTTTTCAAGCTTTATTCAGCCACTTCCTGTCTACATGCTTCAGCAATTACTGACTGGGACTATTTGCATGCCATTACTCTTGACTGGCTATGAAATTAAATTAACTAGTAAATCCTTTTAAATTGGAGTACTTGGGTTTAGATCTAATTTAGTTGTGACCTGAATACACTTACTACTACTTAGTCTGACCATTTGGTGAGTCCATTTGACACTCACCATTCTTAAAATATCTTCTTTCTTTACTTCCAGAACACCTCCCATCATATCATTGAGGGCACGTTGTTTAGCATCATCTTCCTAAGAAAATTGAAAATAAGATAAATTAAAAATAATTTAAACATTTCTAAATTGGCAAAAGGTATGGCAAATAATGCAGAAGTTTCTTTGTATACAAGACTGCAGTGAACATTGATGTCATTTTTTTTTTTTTTTGCCACTGCACTTTTCTCTACTATAGACAAACAAAATATAAACTACAAAGATAGCTACTGTTTTCTACTGGCATTCCTACTCAGTAGTTGACAATGATCTAATGCCCACTATTTCTGATTGGTGTGTGGATCTAAAAAACAGCAATGATTACCCCCAGGACCTACCAGAAACATTGCATCTCCAGCAAACTTTAAAATGTAAAGGCTTTGGGGCTGTCATATTAGTATGCTACCCAGCAATGCATTGACCAGTCAATAATGTTTAGACTTCTGTCCTGTATATTGGTTCCAGGCCAGTGCAGATAGTAGAGACAAGGTTAGGATGACATCACTTCTGTTCCACAGGAAATTAGATAGAAAGGCAAGGGCTTGGGTTTCATGCCATATAAGGATTGGAAACCATGAGATATTATATTAACTTGAGCTTCATCATGCTGACGAATAGAATATGTATGGTAAAAGTGAGAGGAAAATACTTTATTATCTGCATAATTATTAAGCATGCATGCCATAGATGACAAAGATACGCGCATCACAAAAAAAAACAAAAGATTTGCCAGCTAGTCTGCAAAAAAAAACCCAAATTGGCACTGTCTAAAAATTCACGTTACAAACAGAGGGTTTAATTGTACACGTTTACAAATACAGTATATGTAGAAGCCACACTGCCTTGCCAAGGTTCCAAGGTGGAGCATATATAGCAGTGGGCATGCATGCCTGGAGGGAGCCCACTCCTCCTCAAAGGCGCAGGGACACATTAGAAGCCCAGCAAGAGCACAATGACAGCTGAAGGCATCCAATGTGTCTTCACACCAAATCCAGCCAGCAAGCTATACAAAAATGGCAACCGCCCCAATTTATGACTAGGTTTTGAAGCAAGGTACACATGGAAAGGTATTGCATATCACAAACAAAAGATTTCCCAGCACACTTACTTACTAGCTAGCCTGCCAAAAAAACCATTGCTGGCAGGGCAGAGACTAAACAGGAGGGGTACAGAGCATGCAGCACTAGTTCTCATGTTTTCTGTCCTGTGTGCTGTATCTGTCACAGCCACAGAGCAGAGAACTGATCACTCCTAATTGAGAAAAGAGCTTGCACCCCTCTTATTAATTAGCAGCAGCATCTGCACCATGTTCTAAATTTAGAAGAGTTGCGCAAGAGCCCCCCTCTTCCTTACACAAGAGTTTACCCTTACATCAGAGTCTGCATGTAAAGGGGACCGCTGCGGACCATGATGTATGGGAGAATGCTGTGGTTTAAAGGAGAACTGTGATGTCACCAGAGCCCCCCCCCCTTACATCAGAGTCTGCAGCACTCCCCTTTACATCAGAGTTCCTCCTAACATCATGGTTTGCAGTGTTCCCCCTCACACTGTAAGGGGGAATCCTACAGACTCTGATGTATAGGAGAACTCTAATTCTCACTAATTTAAGGAGGAATGCCAAGATGGGGGGGGGGGACTCTGATTACCACAGACCACCTTCCGCAGAGTGAATACACTAAGGGTTTACTGATATAAGGGGGAACTTTTATATCAGTGTCCCTCCTTACCTTAATGTATTCACTCTCCAGGTCCCCCCTTACATCACTGAAATCCCCACCCAACAAGACTATGTAGCCTGGCTGGTGGCTAGAGTAATGTAATGTCACACTGACCTCCCGAATGCTTGCTCGCTTGGCCTCGGGTCAGGTGCAACTCAGTAAGAGTAACGTCCTGGGCTCCTGGTGGCGCTCCCTCTCCTGGGTCCTCCTGGCTCCCCCAGCTGGCCCTGCTGTAAAAGGCGCCAAAGGGTGCCATGATGTCATCAGTGCCCCCCCCCCCAAGCCTGGCCAGCTTGAAACTGCGCATATGTGACCATGCCTGGCCCCCCAGCTGAGCCTGCCCAGCTTCGGCACATGCACAGTTTCAAAGCGGGCATGTTGCAATAGTTTTACGGGTGGCCTCTGTCCGTACCAGACATTTACAGACAGTTGTAAATCGCCTGATATTTACAAAACTGTCATAGTACAGTACGAATAGTTGGCAACCCTGATTAAGAACAGTTATTCCAGTGGAATCAATGCTCTATAATAAAGATGTTTTACAGAGGAAATGTTGTAGTGGTGTAAAAGAAAAGAGAAAACATTTTCAACCAAGAGTGGACCCTTACAGAAGTGAAAATGATGACCTCATGTAGACACAGATCAAATTAAGAAAGGATTCTTTGAACTGGTAAATACAAACCCAACTGAAGCCAAAGAGGATAAAAATACAAAAGGAAACGTAACAGGATAACGATCAGAAATATTACAAGTATTAACTGGGAGGTGAAGGAAATACTAAATATCTAAAAAAAAGACTCTGGCAAAGGTACAACTGAAGTGGAAATATTAGTAAATAAAGGCAAAAGTCAGGAAAAAACAGCTTATTATTAGAGTACAGGGGGAAGTAGAGATGCTGGGACAAGGGCCGCTGTCTTATTCTCATAGATTGTTACAGGGCTTAAGCCTTATGGACACAGAGCTGTTATAAAATGTATATTTACCTGAGCAGCCAGGTATTTCTCTTCTTCCTCTTTAGCTTGCTGCTCTGCTTTGGCTTTTTGCTTAGCTGTCAAGTATTTTTCAACCTTTATCTTTAGAGAAACAGTAGAGAGACATTTATATACATAATGTAACGCTTTTTTTCATCAAGAAATCAATTTCAGTAACTCTAAAAAATTTCTATTTTTAGTTCAATATTTTCTCTTACAGATACATCTTATCAGTAACAGGAAGCTTTCTGTAACTATAACAGATAGATCACTACCTTTTGAGCTCCAAAGGTGCTGTTTGATCTCGTCACCACACTGGGGGAGATTTCCTAAAATTGGTGCACTCAGAATCTGGTGTAGCTGTGCATGGTAGCCAATCAACTTCTAACTTTAGCTTGTTCAATTAAGCTTTGACAAAAAAATACCTGGAAGCTGATTGGTTTCTATGCAGAATTGCACCAGATTGTTTGCTTTTCCTCTTGCACACCAGCATTAAAAACTTAACAGGGGCCCTCCATCTTACCAAAACCAAATACAAATATTTCACTTCAATTAAGTGTATATGTTAGGGGTTCGTTTTTAAGTTTACATTAAAGTGTATGCAAACCTTAACAATAAAAGTTTCTTTTTTTGCTTCCTTTTGGTCTGTTAAATCATTGAATGCATTTTGTTCTGCTAATCCTGCCAGAAATCCTCTACCTCTAATGGCTGGTAGCAGCTGCACTGCTCCCAGTTTTCTTTGTGGACTACAGAATACTGGCCCCCTGTGTAATGGAGAAGGGGGGGGGGGTTCTGTAGTCCCCTCCAGTACAGGGAGCAAGCATTGTTACCCCAGCACAGGAAGTGTGTTACTGGCAGGATTAAAAATAAAGGTAATGCAATCTGAATAAAAGGAAATATAGCCAACATATATATAAGGACTGGTAAGCTGAAATATAAAAATGCTGTTCTTGGGTTTAAATATGCTATGTGTTCATCTGCAAGAGAACATTTTCATGGTATTATGAGTGCCCACCTTTTCCATGAGGCATCAGTGAGGCACACAGTGATTTGACCTTTGCTCTCGAAATGCAGAGACAAAGGTGAATATTTTTTTATTTCCTGCAATAGCTTTATTTTTTGCATTGCTCTTTAAATAAATAGGTATTTGGTTGGCTGTCAGTAAAGCAAACCTTCTACTTTAATGAAAGGTCACCTTTAAGGGTTAGAGATAGGTAGAAGTCATGGATATTGCTCTTAGCATTCCCTAGGATCTTGCCGAAAGGATCATGACTTCACCATCACCTAGGTACCGCGGGCAGGAGGTAAGTTTATTTACTAATTTTTTTCCCCCACTTTTTTTCTATAATGCCACTATTAAAAAAGAAGTATGGGTTTTACAAAAAAGAAAAAAAACATTATACTCAAGTAGGTGGATGCAGCATTGACCCAATGCTGGACCTGTCCCCCGCTGGGTCTACACTGAGAACTGAGTGATCAAACATCGCTGATCACTCAGTTCTCCCCTTCCTTCCGAGTAGAGAGTGGTCACTGTCAATCACAGGCTCTCTGCTCTGCGCCTCAAGCACTCACTAGAGCTCCAAGCTTCTGGGCGGATCCTGACCGATCTTATCAGAGCCTGAACCAGCCGACAGCAGGCTTTAGCCACAGGAGAACTAAATTCACTCCTGTGATACATGGGAGAAGTATAGACAAAATAGCTTTGGCTACTTACTTCTTTAATTATGGGTGAGGGAGCTCTAATATATTAGGCACACCTTGCTTTTTAGTGCATGGTCTGCATTAAATTACAAATGTCTTGATGAAGATGATGACAAAAACACTATTAATAGCAATGATAAATACGATGATAATCATTTTAACTGTTTTATTAGTAAAAGTGACCTGTGTTATTATTTTCATGTGGAAATTATTATTTTAACATTTACCTCAGAATCCTCCACTGTGAGTGCTCTCTCTGGTTTCTCATTATCTGTAAATTTTGGCTCTAGAATTTTTTCTTGGATGTTTAGTTCAGACATGATATCCAGTATTCTTTGGTTTCTTTCATTCACCCGAGCCATTTCTTGTTCCTTTTGTCTATACATAACTTCAAAATCTTTGTTAAAGGCTGTTTTGACATTGTGGATGATGTCCTGTATGAAATGGTATAATGTATATAAAAACAGGTTGGTACCATTGGAAATACATGTCTACAATATTCGGAAGGCAATATGCAAAAAAATAATTTCACTCTTTTCTACAGAATAAATGAGTACTCCCCTTTTGAAAAGTAACATTTTAATCATTTATAGAACATTTATAGAACATTTATATATTTATGTTTTATAGAATATTTGTTTAGCTCATTACATGAAAGTAAGGTTAATAATATAACTTGTATTACAAAATCTTCAGTTTTACTAAAATTAGTTGACGCTAAAATGAATACACCTCACAACAAAAACTACTACATCTAGTATTTTGTATAACCTCCATGATTTGTTTGGACACCACCAAGTCTTCTAGGCATGGAATGAACAATTTTGCGATGTATTGAAACATCTATCTTTTTCCATTCTTCAAGAACAACCTCTTTTAGAGCCTGAATGTTAGATAGAGAGTAATGTTCAACTTATTTCTTCAGTATTCCCTATAGGTGTTTGTTTGGGTTCAGATCAGGAGACACACTTGGCCACTGAATTACTTTCATCCTGTTCTTCTTCAGAAATGCAACAGTGGCCTTAGATGTGTGTTTTGGATCATTGTAATTTTGGAAAAGTGCACGAAAACCAAGGGCATGCAGCGATGGTAGTATCTTCTCTTTCAATATAGAGCAGTACATCTGTGAATTCATGGTACCATCAATGAAATGCAGCTCCCCAACACCAGCAGCACTCATGCAGCCCCACAGTAGGACACTGCCACCACCATGTTTCTCTGTAGGAACCATGCATTTTTCTTTGTACTCCTCACCTTTGCGATGCCACACAGTTTTGAAGCCATCAATTCCAAAAACATTTAACTTGGTCTCATCACTTCTTCTTTTTCAGCATGGGCCATGGCAAATTCTAGCAGGGCTTTTTTGTGCATGGGTTTTAGGAAAGGCTTCCTTCACGGATGACACCCATGCATGGCATTCCTCTGCAGTGCATGCCGTATTTTTGCCACGAGAAACAATCGCCAAGTTTGGCTTTCTACTTCTTAAGCTAACTGCAGTGAACTTGCATTGCGATTTTCTGCAACCCTTCTCATCAGAAGACACTCCTGTTGAGGTGTTAACTTCCATGGATGGCCTGAACATCTCTGTGAGATGGTTGCAGTTCCATCTTTGTTAAATTTTTGTATCACTTTTGCTACAGTATTCTGACTGATAAGTAAAGCTTTGGTGATCTTCTTGTAGCCTTTACCTATCTTGTGTAGAGAAATAATTTTCTTTCTCAGGCCTTGTGACACTTCTCTTCCATTGCTGACAGCAAGAAATGGGAAAGGGCTTTCTATGTTAACCTCCCTAGCGGTATGATTATGTCCATATTTCTGTGCTCAAAGCGGTACATTTTTTTGCATGGAAATATGTATTTGTTTTATTGTAGACCTGTAATTTTTAGGAATAACTCACTGAAATCTGTCCGAACAAGAGTCTAGTAAACATCCCGGGTATGTTACAATTTGAAACACGAAATCATAAATTATAATTTAATAAATAATCGTAAAAAATAATAATATGATAATAATAAATTTAATTCAATAATATAATCAAACCAAAAACACTGAAATTTGAAATAGAGCGCCAAGTTCGCACATCACTGAGCAAAGTTGCAAAATTGTTTTCAGTGTCTGATGACGAATTTCCCCACAAATCATTATCACTCAATTCTGCAAGTGGTTCTGATTTACTATTGCTGTTCTCTAGCTGGTCTAAAACCGATTTTGACCTAAAGGGACGCTTTTTGGACGCCATGGACATTTCTCAGTTTCCAGACAGAAAGAACAGTAAAAATGCAGGCAGGTCACAGGACAAAGCACTCGGGACAAAATGTATGTGAAATGGTTTGATACAGTAATGTTTTACTATGTGATTTTAGTGTATTTAGTGAACGTCAATTTTTGTCATTTTCAAATTTCCCACCGTTCCGTCCCCCGTACGTCCCGATGCTCGCAGGGGGCGAAACCCAGATGACAGATGCCGGCATCCGCCGGAGTACATTACAGGGGACACTGCAGGAGGGACATCGCAGGAGCGAAGGACAAGGTAAGACAAGAATAGACCCGGAGCAGCGCCGCATGGAAAGCCCGAGTGTAGCTCAGGGTTACCGCTTGTGGTACTGAAACTTTACCCCGAGCTACACTTGGGAATAACGCCAGGGAGGTTAAGTAACGCCCTTTTATAATCAAATGTCTGCTGGACACCTATTTCATGAATAATTAGACTCACCTGTAGTTGAATTAGGATTTTGTTGTCTAAAGTTTCGCTTTGCTCCTAAGGTTGGCCATACAGTATACAATTTTCTTGTACAATTTTCCTTTAGCATTAACAAAACTATATAATATAAGTTCAAACCTAAATACTTCCAATTTGTATGCAATAAGGCAGGCCCTGCACTACATAGCTGAATGTAAATCTAAAAGAGATTGAGGAAGAAAATTGTATAATGTATGGCCAGCTTAAGACTTCCACTGGGGTGTATCCATTTTTGCAACATGGTCTTGAATGAATTTGTAAGAAAAAATACTTTTTTTTTGTGTGTGCAAATCAACAAATCTTGTTTGCAATCGATGGGCTGCATTTGTGGGAGTATTTTGTGGTATAGTGACCTATAGAAAATTTTCATTCTAAAAGGAAAGTAAAGGTTTTCTGACAAATCTCATTTATGTTGAGCACTGTATATGAAATTGTAAAGAGACTGAAAAGGCCAGTCTAGCTCAAACTTATATTTAACTTTTTTGACAGTGTATTCCTTCAGCTAAATACACACACACACACACACACATTTCCACTTGTTGTCTCCAATGACCAGTCTATGGGGTTGAACTAGTGTGATCTATTCACATTGAGGACATCTAGCTGATTTCTTAGTTGAGCACTTTTGATGTCTTAGGTGAAGCAGATAGCAGGCTTCCCTTCACTTTGTAGCAACAAGTTGTTTAGAAGTTATCAAAGTCCCATTTTGCAGTAGTAGTAGTTACAGGGCTGAGCTCCTCAGGTATAAGCCAGTTATGAAACACTGTGACAGCCCAAAGGTAGCTGAGCAAAGTCCTTTGCAGTAGCAACACTTGGACACTCTTTTCAGAACACTAGCCAGTGTTCCCTTTTTCCTGACCCACGTTGACTATCAAACACCAGGGGAGGTAGCAAGCACACAAATTCCCCCCAAATTCCTCAATGTCAGTACTCCAAAGGCTCAAGGATAGAATGGTTGCCTCCTTCCAATCTTCCAATCGAAACCCTCCAGTGATACCAGACAGAGATTTGGCAGACAGCTCCCCTCAGTCAGCTTACTGAAGAACCAGGGTCATTCTCTCTAAATACAGGCCCCTCAAGTCGACCCACCTGAGGCCACATGGCAGCAAGAGCCAGGAGAGGTAGCCTGCCTCCAGTCTGGCTGGTGCAATCCACTCACGGGAAAGAACACTGAACCCATGTGATCTCAGAATATAAATACCACTCCCAGCATTCAATGAGGCAACCCTCCCCTGCAGTTGGCCAGGGCAGTATCCATATTCACACTGTTCATTTGCCCCTACCCATATTCTGGAAGGCTCGCATAGCTTCCTGAAGGCGGGCAGCAGCGAACTCCAACAGCACCAGAACAGCATGAGCAAACCTAACTAATCAATGACAGCACTCTGTTAAGCAGAATACCACACTGAATTTACCTGATAGCCTCTCTGGAAAGCAAAGAAACACAGCTATACTTAACCTAACTATACATATGCTAGCATCTAACTAGGAGGGTGCTACACTAATATTTATGGCAAACCATGTAATACCTTACCCCTAAACTAAATTTTAACATTATACTAACCTCATATTTTGTTCTGAATCTTAAAACATCTGATAACAGCTATATGCCAAAAAAATACTAATGGTGAAGTGTTAACACCAAGAGTACTGATTTGTATGGATAAGTTAGATTATCTGATCAGGTATTCTCTTCAGTTTCTAGGATCCTAGTCTCTGTGTTGGCTTTTTAATTTATTTTAAAATGCAATTTTTCAACATGCAATGGATATTTAAAAAATCTACACACATATATGTAGAAACAAGTGACAAATACAGTGTGGTTAATAAGACAGGAAATTAACAGAATTTTTAAATTCAGGAAATAGACAGGAATAAAAGTATTTGTTTTTAGTAGAGTGGGCAACAGACAAAATTGTTTTTTATTGTTGTCTGTGGCTCCCTATTGGGAAGATTTTTCTGGCATCCTGTTAGGTCACCAGGACAGATCGAGAGAGAAAATTTCTCTGGGGACATAGACAACAACAGAACTGTGTAGACCTCCGGTGCCCACCCGGTGACCGTGGGGGAGGGGGGGGGGGGGTGATGCAGCCCTTTGGCACTTTTTGTGTGGCTTTTGGGTCCCCTGCACACACTAATATGTGTTTCACTATTGCCCTGTTATAGCAGTGATTTCTAGCAGTCTCATGTAATATGTTCACTGATCTTTATGTGTGGCCCTTTGAGGGTTGCACTTGAGGCCCTTCATATCAAGAAAGCTGGCCACCACTGGTGTAGACAATTGGTATTTCAGACAGCTGGATCCCCTAGTGTAGTTCAAGTTCCCAATGGGGGGGGGGGGGGGTGTCTTCTAAATATAAGGCTCTTGGAAGCCAGCTGTCCGGTACTCAAGTGACAGTATATGGTTTTTGGATCCACCATTAAAAAAAGTGCCAGAGAGCAGCCAAACCAGCAACTAGAACAGGCTTTAGGATCCTCAACAAACTGTGCACTTGAGAATCCAACCTCTTGTTGTCCAAAGCTTATTCTGCCTAACATTTTAAAGGGTCTGATGAAGAGGGCCCCTCAGAACCCCTAAATTGTATTAGCTTTTTAACAGATAGCATGAAGAAGAGAGTTTCTTGTTGGAAATAACACAATATTTATAGATTTTAGTAGATGTCAGCAATCCACCTACTTGAAGCAATATGATTTGGTTTATTTTCTCTTCTCTGCTGTGCATTTCCAGCTGGCTGTACAAGTTAGATGTGTCACCACCATACTGATCGCTCAAACTTCCAATTAATGATGTGGTATCTTGACTTTTCACTGTCTCCTCCTCCACTTCTTCATCCTCTTCTGACCCTATCTTTGTGTGAACTTCAACAATTTCCTTTCTGGCCTACATTTAAAAACAGAAAAATGGCATTGTCATACAATCCTTAGTCTTAAAAGAAAAGAAAGAAGTAAAACATAGCAACTGCTCTATTTGAGTTGTGCTAATTTTCAATGCATCATCCATTAGAAAATTATGACACCTGAAATGAAGTACAACTCCAGGTAAATGTATCTAAAATATTAATTATCTGAAAGTTGCAACTGGGCTTGTGGTGGGAGTGCTTAATCTGTAAACTGATGAGCAACAGAGGAAAGTACTTAGGTGAGCTTCCAGAAAGATGACAATTTAGAATGGATGTCCCGAATTTGGTAATGTTCACTAGTTGGCTAAAGATCAAGACAGGGGCTTATAAGATTGCCTTTATTATGCTACATAGTCAGAGTGGGCCATAAGAGTTTGGGATTTACTTTGTGCCTTTTGGCACATACACTTGTTTTGTATTTTTAATTGTGTGTTTGAATTTCATGTCCTTAATTTAGTAAATTACTATATATATATATATTTTTTTTACTAAATGTAAATGAATGTAATATTGTCTTTACCCTAAGATCAATAGCTTCAATCTTCTTTAGCTTCAGTACTCTGGCAATATCTTCCAGTTCCTTTGCACTTCGTTCTTTCAAAGGATAATTTTTGACCTCATATCCTGCATGAAAGGACTAAACCAAATAAATGAGTATTGTTAGGTTGGGATGCTTCTACGTAGACAATGGCCTTATGCTGATTACACTATATTTACCACAATAGCTCGTCCTTTAACAGCCATTGCATCCCAGCATTCTTTCTTTATAACATCACGCAGGTACTGTTTGGCCAAGTTTTCCATTTCGATTTCTTGCCTCACCTTTTAGAAAACAAATATTTTGACTGAAAAGTATGAACTATAAGGCTCCATGCACACGGGGTGTTTTAATAACGGTGGTAACGTTAGCTGTGCAAAGTCACATTAAAAATGTGAGTTATTCAGCTTTTATGAGCATTAATGTATTAGCGTTTAGTGGCGGTTTGCCGCATTTTTTTATTTTTGTGTTTTTTAGAGTTTTTCTTTTACCAAGAAAAACATTTTTTTTTGGGGTCAAAAAAAGTAAAAAAACGCTTGTTTGCCGCAATTTAATGCGTTTTTTCAGCATCTTTCAGCGTTAGAGCGTTTTTACAGCTAAAAACTTCTCTAGAAACCCACTAGTTCTGGGTTTTTTTTTCCAGCCAAAAAACTCCCCTGCCAAAAAACGTTGATTACAGTCTATGTGTGCATGGACACATAGGATAACATGCTGGGGAGTTTACTGGCTGTAGAAAAAAACATCAAAAGCGAAAAACAGCAGCTGTAAAAATATCAAGTGTACATGACGACTAAATAATAGAACTACAAAAAAATATATTCCATCCCTTTGTAAGCATTAACAGATACAAACCAAACAAAATACAAGAGCATAATATAAGAAAATGTTAAACTTTGTTTTTCTTTATCCTCCCACTGTCTTCAACTCAAGAACTATAGGAAAGGAAATATAACCCACACCAAAAAGTGATAAAAAAAACTATGGTTGTTGCCTAGCAAATATGAACGGTGCTGTATGTACAAGCTAATCCACTTTGTGAGGAGGAGTCTACTCACGCCGTGACGTCACGCCGTCGGAGCATCGTGGAGCTCTGGCGGCCATTTCCTTTCAGGGACGGTTAGTCCACTGTGTTTACTCCGTTTTTACTTGGATGCATCCTATTCATCTTAATAATAAATGTTATCTAACTTACTACACTATGGGCATTTTTTTGTTCTGACCCCTTGCGGGGAGTATTAATTTCCTAGATGCCCAGTACTTACTCAGTGTATCCAGAGAGGGAGCCTCCTGTTTAAACCTTTGAGAGCTGCACCCACCCATCCCTAAAGGAGAACTCTGGACACCCCCTGGATCATCAGCACCTAAGTTCCTGGACCCTATCCATCCTGAGAGGGAGCCTGTTCCATCTATTGACCCAGATGATTACCTGATGACACCAGGATAATATACAATGCACATTAATAGTGCACGTCCGGTGAGTGTGCATTACTTATATTAATACGAAGCACAAACACCGTTTTGAAGCTGTGGGGACTATTTCAATACTTTCCAGTCACCTTTACGGATTTATTTATTTTATTTACTATCCATTATATGTTTATTTGCATTATTTGGGCATAGACATTTTCTACGTGCATTGCTCAATTTAAAATACCGTAGTGTCTAGCTGTATATTTGATGTTTGCACAGACTTTTTATACATGGTCAATTCCTCTTCATTTACTCTTTGTGATTACTACTTTTAGCGCTGCACTATTTTACTTCAGATAAAAAAAAACTATGGTTGTTGCCTTTAGCAAATACAAACGGTGCTGTAGGTACAAGCTAATCCATTTTGTCCATATTCATGACACATAACTATTACTGAAACTTTTAAAGCCAGGATATGCCTTTCAGAAGCCCTTTACATGCTTCATATGTGGGGCTCTTACAGTCTAAAAGTCAGGAACCTACAGAAAAATAAATGATCTTTCTGTGATACAGACCTGCTGAGAGACCTGTGATTGATATTGCAGTCCCCATAATAGCCAAATTTCAACTGCCAGTGCTGATTTTTCACAGAAAATATAGCCCTGGACAGAAGACAAGCAATTCCAATAATTGTGTGCTAATGAGTGGACAGTGAAGCCATAGAAAACAAAATGATGTCAGCATCATCTGCTGTATTTATATAGAGCATTACCGCCACATGATTATAGCTGAACTGCAACCCAATGGCTAAACATACAGGTGCATGTATACAATACATGTGAACTGTTTTAAATGCCAACAGATATATCTTTCTGTGCAGCTACTTACCCTGCCCTGTTACTTTAAAGTGATTCTAAACTTTTTTTTTTAATTTTTAATAATACTAAACATGTTATACTTACCTGCTCTGTGCAATGGTTTTGCACAGAGCAGCCCTGATCCTCCTGGCTACTGGCTCCTTTTGACTTTTAAGTACCCCCTTCGCAAGCCATTAGCGTGCTCCCGAGCCCCATTGCCTGCGTCCATAGACACAGGTAGCAGGACTTTGCCCCTTCCCCCCACTCCCTCATGATAGGATTTGATTGACATCAGCAGGTGCCAATGGCTCCCATTGCTATAATTCTGCCCTGTGAAAGAGGGAGAGAGCAGAGAGAACCACTGCTCTTGTGCACAGCGCTGGATCGAGATCGGACTCAGGTAAGTATTGGTGAGTCTGGGGGGAGGGGGATCCTGGACACAGGTTTTATTTTATGCAGAGAATTGAGGTAAAAAAAACTTTAAGGCTTTAGAACCACCTCAAACATTGGAGCTACGAATATTTAGAATAATTTTGTGCAGTAGTCTCCCACATAGCTATATACAGTGGGGATCGAAAGTTTTGGGCACCCCAGCTAAAAATTTGTATTAATGTGCATAAAGAAGCCAAGGAAAGATGGAAAAATCTCCAAAAGGCATCAAATTACAGATTAGACATTCTTATAATATGTCAACAAAAGTTAGATTTTATTTCCATCATTTACACTTTCAAAATAACAGAAAACAAAAAAATGGCGTCTGCAAATGTTTGGGCACCCTGCAGAGTTAATATCTTGTACTGCCCCCTTTGGCAAGTATCACAGCTTGTAAACGCTTTTTGTAGCCAGCCAAGAGTCTTTCAATTCTTGTTTGAGGTATCTTTGCCCATTCTACCTTACAAAAGTCTTCCAGTTCTTTGAGATTTCTGGGCTGTCTGTCACGCACTGCTCTTTTAAGGTCTATCCATAGATTTTCGATTATGTTGAGGTCAGGAGATTGTGAAGGCCATGGCAAAACCTTCAGTTTACGCTTCTTGATGTAATCCCCTGTGGATTTCGAGGTGTGTTTAGGATCATTATCCATTTGTAGAAGCCATCCTCTCTTTAACTTCAGCTTTTTCACAGATGGAATCAAGTTACCATCCAAAATTTGCTGAAATTTTATTGAATCCATTTTTCCTTCTACTCGTGAGATGTTCCCTTTGCCACTGGCTGCAACACATCCCCAAAGCATGATTGATCCAACCCCATGCTTAACAGTTGGACAGAGGTTCTTTTCATTAAATTCTGTGCCCCTTCTTCTCCAAACGTACCTTTGCTCATTCCGGCCAAAAAGTTCAATTTTAACCTCATCGGTCCACAGAACTTGTTTCCAAAATGCATCAGGGTTGTCTATATGTTCATTTGCAAAGTTCAAACGATGATTTTTGTGGTGAGGACATAGAAGAGGTTTTCTTCTGATGACTCTTCCATGAAGACCATATTTGTACAAGTATCTCTTTATAGTGGAATAGTGTACCACAACTCCAGTGTCTGCCAGATCTTTCTGGAGGGATCGTGCAGTCAAACGTGGGTTTTGAATTGTTTTTCTCACAATCCTGCGAGCTGTTCTGTCTGATATTTTTTTTGGTCTTCCAGATCTTGCTTTAACTTCCACTGTTCCTGATGACTGCCATTTCTTAATTACGTTCCGAACAGAGGATATTGACTTCTGAAAACGCTTTGCTATCTTCTTATAGCCTTCTCCAGTTTTGTGAGCATCAACTATTTTCAGTTTCAGTTTTCTAGACAACTGCTTAGAAGAACCCATGGTGTTGATTGTTGGGGCAAGGTCAGATGAGTCTGGGCATTTAAAACCTTTGAGATTGACATAACCTGGCCTTCCCAGACGATGATTGAGAACAATCCATGACACTGGCAGGTCTCAGCTTGGCAAAGGGGGCAGTGCATGCTATAAATTCTGCAGGGTGCCCAAACTTTTGCAGACGCCATTTTTTTGTTTTCTGTTATTCTGAAAGTGTAAATGATGGAAATAAAATCTAACTTTTGTTGACATATTATAAGAATGTCTAATCTGTAATTTGATGCCTTTTGGAGATTTTTCCATCTTTTCTTGGCTTCTTTATGCACATTAATACAAATTTTTAGCTGGGGTGCCCAAACTTTCGATCCCCACTGTATATATATCTCACTGACCAACAGAATGATAACAGGATTTTGTACTTGCCGTAAAATGCTTTTCTCCAAGTGCAAGAACAGAAAAACAGAGGGCAAGGACATGTGTCTCCAATGGACTACAGGAAAGGGTTTTTATACCAAGTACAAAAAATCCTAATCTCATTCTCATCCAGTGAAAGGCACAGGAATGCAGAAACAGTCAGGATGTCCAAAGGCAGTGCAACTGAATGGTGGGTAACAGCAACACAGCAACAACTTTTAACAGGTCCAATGAAGAGGATTGGTGACTGTCTTTAGCCCAGGAGCCACCTAATGAATGAATGCCTGAATCTGAACCTGTATAAGGTGGAGCCCCCGATTAAATAGGGGGGCTTTCCAAACCTAAAAGGAGGACACTTTGGGATTGATTTTCTAAAGGCAAATAGGTTGTTCACTTTGCATGACAATTTTACAGGTTCCCTTAGCTTAGTAAATGAGGTGAAGCTCTGTTAACTTCCATTATCCAATCATGTGCAAGCAAAAATATTTTCTCCTTTTTTTACAAAGTGGACTTTCACCACATTCATTAAGCAAAAGTAAAGCCTATTTCCCTTTAGTGAATCAACCCCAAAGAATCAACCT